AGTCAGATCAATTAGAGAGAGAAACAAAAAATATCCAAACTGGAAAAGAAGAAGTAAATATTCATAGATGACATGATCTGATAAATAAAAAAAATCCTAAAGAATATACAACAAAAAACTATTAGAGCTATAAATGAATTCATCAAAGTTGCAGGATACAATATCAATACACAAAAATCAGTTTTATTTCTATATACTAGCAATTGAGAAAGGATACATAGCGAATGTTTAATGGTAAAGGGTTTCCTTTTGAAGTGACAAAAATGTTCTTGATAGATACATAGAGTGATGGTTGCACAACACTGTGAATATATTAAATGTCACTAATAAAAACTTTGTTATGTGTATGTCACCACAATTTAAAAAAAAAAAACAAAAACAAAAAAACTCTGATATCCAGGTGACACTGCAGACCAATTACAATAGAATCTCTGGGGGTTGGACCAGGTTGCATTATTTTCTAAAACACTCCAGGTACTTACTGTGTATAGCTAAGGTTAACTAGTTGTTTATATATAGTAATGAAAATTTAGTAAGAGAGTGGTATCAATAGCTAGAATATCCTTTGGGGATATGACTGGCATAAAGTATTTATTAACACCAGGTACTTAAAAGTATAGTGTTTTGCCTAAGTACATTTTTATGGGGATAGGGCTTCAGAGTCTACTTAAGGGCTTTTTTGCACAGCTGTAAGGAAAATGTGCAACTTTTTTAGCTTTATGAAGTTATTCCCTATTGCCTAGTCTCTCAAATTGAGTTCTGAGAGTTCAATTAGAATTTTTAAATTTTGAGATGTCATTTTGATAATCTGAGAAAAAAAGTGTATAACAACAAAAGTTCTCTTTTACAATGATAAATCCCAACTGAATTACATCTTCAATCTGTAAAAAATAAAATAATATTATCTATGTTTCCTGTCTTCTCAGACACCCTCCATTCTCCCTTCCTACCTCCTAAACCAAGAGTCAACACAACTCTTCCATAACGGACCAAATAGCAAATATTTTAGGCTTTCATGACATACGATCCCTGTCACAACTACTCACCTCTGAGTCTGTAGTACAAGACCAGTCATAGACAATACATTAACAAGTGGACATGGCTGTGTTCTAATAACTTTATTTTCAAGAGAGATCACAGGCCACATTTGGCCTACAGGCCAGTTTGCTAAATATTGATGTGGAAAGAATGTGGAAAAGATGATTATTTCATATCTCCTCTCTCCTCAAACCTCCAACAACTCCTTCCCAATCCTTATCTCAGTTGATCATCTTATTTGCTGTTTCACTGCAAAAACAGAAAGCAAGCAAAAGAAAAATTTCAAAAGCTCCCAGAAGTACATCTTCCCATCCAACTGCATCTTAATCTCTTTTCATTTCTATAGCTGAAGTGTCTGTGCTCCTGGCAAAGGCCAATCCCTTTACTTATACACTAGATTCCATCCTCTCTCACCTATTTAAGAAGTGTGCCAGCAATTATATCCTTACTTCCTTTCATCGTCAGTTTTTCTCTTTCTCCTGTGTCCTCTTTCTATTAGCTGTATCTCAACCTTAAAAACAAACAAAAAAAAGCCCTTGTCTCTTGACCTCACTTCCCCTCCAGCTATCATGTTTCTTCCTTTCTTTGTACACCAAAACTCTTAGAGTCCTACTATCTCTAATTTCACTCCTCCATTCTCTCCTAAACCTGAAAATCAGATTTTCATTCCCATCACTCCATCAAAACTGCTCTTATCAAAGCCCCCAATGATTTCCATATTGCTAACTGCAATAGTCAATTCTTTGCCTTCCAGTTATTTAATCTATCAGTCACAGTTGACAAAAAGATCAGTTCTACCTCTTTCTTCATTTGGTTTTCATGGCATATATCCTTCCGATTTCCTTCTAAAACTGGCCAATCATTTGCTGGTTTTCTCTTCATCTTCCTGACCCCTAAATATTAAAGCACCTCAGGCTCACTCCACTGGTGACCTCAGCCAGTCCCACTGCTCCTCCATATCATCTGTATGCCAATGACTCCCAAATTTATATCTCCAGCAGAGACCTCTGCACTAGATTCCAATAGGATATCCAACTGCCTACTCAACATCTTCATTTTGATGTCTGATAAGAAGTTTATACCTAGTTCCACCCTCCAAAATCTGTTCTCCCATAGTCTTCCCTTCACAGTACATAGTGATCTCAATATTCAAGACTCCCAGGTCTAACCTCTGGAGTCATGTTGTCTTCCATTGTCTTACATACAACATTTCCTCTATCAGAAAATACTATTTGTTTTACATTCAAAATATACCCAGAACACAAATATTTCTCACCACTCTTATTACCCAAGTCTAAACCACCATCATCTCTTAACTGCACTATTTCAAGAGGCTCCTAATAGGGCTTCAAGCTTCAATCCTTTCCCCCATCAGTCTCTTATATATAAGAATCAGAGTGATTCTGTTAAGAAGTTAACCTAGAGACTCTCAGTTCCTGTCAAAATGGAATCAGGACACTCCACTCTATTTCTTCCACTAATTACAGCTAAAAACTCTAAACAAAACACAAAATAAACTAACAGAGGCCTCTGCAAGGTAGACAAAAGTGGGTGGACGAGGTAGGAAATGAAGACTACAAGTAGCGACAAAAATGAAGCAGCTCTCTCTTTACCCTATCCCCATCTGGGAGTAATGTCCCCTGTGAGATGGAGCTCTTTTAATTCTCCAGGCTGTGCCCCAGATGAGATCCAATAATAAAGGTACAGTGACTCAGGAGCAATAACAATATGGCAGAGAGGGAGATGACAGTGGTGGCCCCATAGTCTTTGCCCTTAGCCCCATTACAGGCCTTGGTGTGGAAAAGTATACAACACTGTGAGAGGAAAAACCCTGGGCTTTCTTTTTTCTTTTCTTTCTTTTTTTTTTTTAGAAAGAGAGCATAAGCAGGGGTTGGCGGGGAGGGGCAGAGGGAGAGAAAATCTTAAGCAGGCTCCATGCCCAGCAGCCCCAGTGCAGAGCTCGATCTCACAACACTGAGATCATGACCTGAGCCAAAATCAAGAGTTGCATGCTTAACTGACTGAGCCACCAGGTGCTCCAAGCCTGGGCTTTCTAATCAGAACACCAAGGAGGAAAATAAAAAGAGCCCAAGAATATAAAGAGTATCACAGAGGGAAGAATTGGAGAAAGGGATCCTTTAAATCATAAATACTGGGCTCACTTCTGAACTGTGCATGCATAGCCAAGGCTGGAAGGATTTCAGCACGATCCAGGATCTCTTAACATAATATCTGGGATAAAATATGAAATTATTCAACACACAAAATGAAATTATTCAACACACAAAATGAAATTATTCAACACACAAAATTCAACACACAAAATTCAACACACAGAACAATCTCAATAACTCTGAAGGGAAAGGCAATCAACAAACACCAACCCCAAGATGACCCAAATGTTGAGATTATTAGAAAAAGACTTTAATTCAGTTATAACAATACTCCGAAAATTAGGCAAAATTCACTTAAAAGAAATTGAAAGATAGAAATTTTCATGAAAAAAATAGAGGCTGTAAAAAAGAACCAAATGGAAATTAACCCAGAACGGATCATAAACCTAAATATTAAGTGTAAAACATAATATTCTTCATATAAAACATAAGAGAAAATCTTCATGAGCATGGAATAGGTAAGGAGTTCTTAGGACAACAAAAAAAAGCATGATGCATAAAAGAAAAAAATTGAAAAACTGTATTCATCCAAACTTAAAACTTTAGTTCCATGAGAGACACTTAAAAGAATGAAAAGACAAGCCACAGAATGGGAGAAACTATTTACAATTCACATATCAGACAAAGGAAGTGTATCCGAAATAAAGAAATCTCAAAACTCAACAGTAAGAAAATCGTGAAATGTCATTAAATATGACATTTATTAGAATATGTTAGATGAGAAAAATAGACATAAAAAAGTGGAGATAATATAAATTATCTATACACAAAGGACCATTAAAGTAAATAAAGGACTGGGAGAAATTAAATCAAATGATTTAACAATATTTTATAATAATGTAAATATTATAAATGGTGTCTGAAATACAAAAATTTCCTTTTAAAAGTAAAAAAAAAAAAAAAAAAAAACCAACCACCCAATAAAACAATGGGTAAAAGATTTGAGGACCTTGCACCAAAGATGTACAGATAGGAAATAAACACATGAAAAGATGCCTAACATCATTAGTCACTAGTGAAATGAAAACTAAAACAATGGAGTCCTACTACAAATTTAATATAATGGCTAAAATAGAAAATACTGACACCAAATGCTGATTAAGATGTGAAGCCAGTAAGACTTTCATACATTACTGACTGGAATGAAAATGGTACAGAAACTCTAGAAAAACAGTCCAACATTTTCTTAAAAATTTAAAGATATGATTTGACCCAGGAATCCCACTTATTGGTATTTATCCTAGAGAAAGAAAATCTCTTATTCACACAAAAACCTACAAATGAATGTTTAGAGCAGTATTAGAAGCGGGGGGGGGGGGGGGGAGAAGACTTCAACAAAAGAACGAATAAACAAACTGTGGAATATCCATACAATAGAATGTTACTCAGCAATAAGAAAGAGGAAACCACTGATCTACCCAACACGAATCTCAAATGCATTATGCTAAGTGAAAGAAGCTAGACTCAAAAGGTTATGTACTATATGATGCTATTTATATGAGTATCTGGAAAAGGCAAAACTGTAGGGACAAAGAACCAATCAGTAGTTGCCTGGGTTAATTTATGTGTCAACTTAACTGGGTCGTGGGGTTCCCAGATATTTGGCTAAACATTATTTCTAGGTTTGTCTAAGAGAGTATTTCCAGAGGAAGTTAGCATTTGAATCTATGGACTCATGGACTCAGTAAAGCAGACTGCCCTCCCCAATGTGAGTTGGCATCATTCAGGGCCCATTAAGGACCTGAAGAGAACAAAGAGAGGAGGAATGAAGAATTTGTTCCACTCTACCTGACTGTTGGACTGGGCCATTGGTCTCCTCCTGCACTTAGACTGGATTTACACCATCAGCTCCCCAGGTTCTCAGGCCTTCAGACTCAAACTGAATTACACCACCAGCTCTCCAGGGTGTCCAACTTGCAGAATGCAGATTGTGGGACTTTTCAGCCTCCATAATTGAGTGTACCAATCCCTTTAAATAGATAGAGAGATCGATCGATCTTATTAGTTCTGTTTTTCTGGAGAACTCTGAATAATACAGATTTTAGTACTGAGAGTGGGATGCTGCTGTAATTAACAAATACCTGAAAAGGTGAAAGTGGCCTTGGAACTGGATAAGGGTACAGGCTGGAAGAGTTTTAAGGTGTGTGCTACAAAAAGTCAATATTGCCATTAAAGGACTTTTAAACATGATTCTGGCGAGGACTCAGAAAGAAAAGAGGAGAACTGGAGAGAACTAGGGATCTGTCAAATATGCTCAGCTTCCCTTCTTAACAAAGGAGCCAAGCTTTCCTAGCTCTCTTCTATGAAATGCCTAGGGGAGTAACTGATAGTTTAATAGCACATGCAGAGAATATCAAGCCACCTTCCATCATCCTCAATATCATCTTAATTCTTTCTGGTCCTCCAAACGCTTTAGAAAATTTTGCTTGTGTATTAGTGCTTAAGAGCCAATCAATAGGGGCACCTGGGTGGCTCAGTCGTTAAGCGTCTGCCTTTGGCTCAGGTCATGATCCCAGGGTCCTGGGATCGAGACCCGCGTCGGACTCCCTGCTCCGCGGGAAGCCTGCTTCTCCCTCTCACACTCCCCTTGCTTGTGTTCCCTCTCTCGCTGTCTCTCTCTCTGTCAAATAAATAAATAAAATCTTAAAAAAAAAAAAAAAAAGCCAATCAACAAAGATTGATGTATTACTATACAAATGCCAGCATATGAAAGAAACTGTCAGACTTAGGAAGCAGAATTCATTATACTTAACAATTCTTGGCAAAGTGAAACCCCACACAATCTAAATTTCAAATAGTGGACTACCTAGCTCTGGCTATCTTCCAATTGTTGCTTACTGCTGCAGTATCTATCTATAGGCAATACTGCTTGCCTGATACAATTTCATCAGTCCTTTTCCCTTCCGATTTCTTCTTAAGAAAACATACTCTCTTGTAACTCTCTTCTTCCTATGGATTTTCCCCAAACTTTAGACTAAAAGCTAAGTTAAGTATTTTCCCTTTTTGGCTGCCATTAGTTATTCCTCCTAGTTTCCCCAATAACTCATGTCTCAATTCCACAAAACATTCCTTCAAAATAAAAATGTAGGTATCTTTCAATCCTGCAATACCTATTCTAGGAAGCTCTCCTATAGCAATAGCAACAAATTTATGTGTTCTATAGCACTATTTGCCACTTTAAAAATGGAAATGACTAAATATCCACCTTTGAGACAATGATTTAATCAATTATGGTACATTTGCTCTACAGAATACTATGCAGTCATTAAAAAGATAAAATCTGTATGCAGTGAAAGCATAAGAGAATAAAGAATTCTGTAGTGCACTGTATTGAAGAATAATGTTAAGGTATATATATACCTAGAAAAATATCAGGAAGCACATACACCAAATTTTCAATGGTGGAGATATTTGTGGGGTATAAGATGGGCTGGGATCATTCTAACCATATTTCTGTACCGAAATTATTTTACTGCAAATCTGTACTAACGTTGAATTTTTAAAATATTTTTTAACCTGCACAACTTTAACAAACACATATTCATCATGTTAAACATCCTCACAGAAATCTTTTTTTCTCATGTTACGGTCTTACTTTCTTCAGCACACAATCTTATTTACTTGTCTCTCTCCCGTTGAATCCCGTCTGTCTCGCGCTGTGCCTCACAATAATTATTTAATAATTGTTATTTGTCTCCAGAAAAACTGAAGAGTTATAAATTTTAACATATCAAGAGGTAACGCGTACAAGTCAGATCGCCTGTTCCTGCTAAAATTAAGCTGTCAGTGGCTCTTCTCTCTTCGTAGTGATACAGAGCTGGCAGAGAGGATCGATAAATGTTTACTGGATGAGTGAATAAAGATAAGCGCCTCTAATATACAGGGACCACAAAAAACAAAAAGTACATAACTTTACAAAAAGAGTATAGAGTATGTTAAGGCTTCCTCACCCACAGGCACGGTCGACTAATGGGGGGGAAGCTAAAACCAAAGCAACAGGCACAGAAGAACCCGTAGCAAGACACGGAACTTGGGCGGGGGTGGGAGGGAATGTCAGATCAGTCCGAGCGGCTCCATCGAATCGGTGAAAGAAAGATGCACCAGAATCCCGGAGCAGGAGCCAGGCGTCCAAAGGAAAAAGCAAGGCCCTCGGAGTTGTGGAGATTCTACAGGAACCTATGGTACGCTCAGCGGAACAGGAGAAAATGACGGCTAATGGGTGGGGAGACAGCTATGCAAGAAGCAGACAGCTGCCTTTCCACCCAAGAACTCAACTGCGCGGCCGAGAAACCAAGCGGTACAAAACGCTGGCGTCATCCCGCAGAGCCCGAATCAAAGCGGAGAAAGAAGCGGCCTGGTGGGTGGGGAAGGGAGGGGACTGGAGGTCACGTGATAGGACACCCTTCTCTTCTGGCGGAAGAAGATATATAATCAAACTGACAGGGCCAGAAAAAAGAAAATTAGTACTAAATAAAAGTTCAGGGGTGTCTAATATAAGTTCATCGTCTCTATGTCCCTGTTTCGCTTCCACCTTTTTTACATGTGTCCTAATTTAACGTTTCCCACACAAAAGATGGCGGCACCTAGGCTGGGTCCTACCATCGAGACTGAAGCCTAGAGGGGCCCAGGCACGGGCTGTGTGGGCTGCGACTCGTGTTCTACGGCCCGGCCTCCCTAAAGGAAATTCTGGGCGGGCTCCCGGGCGTGAGTTCCGGCATCTGCGCAAAGATGGTGGAGGAGGAGAGTGTCCGCGTGGTTCGTTGTGGCGGCAGCGAGTTGAACTTCAGGAGAGCGGTGTTTTCTGCAGATTCTAAGTATGGGGCCCCCGCGCATTGCCAACCGGGCTGAGGGACGTGAGTCGCCGGGCGGGGGGGGCGGGGGGGGGAGGAAAGAACTGTCTGGCTCGTCCGGACTCGCAAACCCGCGTTCTGGGCTCCGGGAAGGCGGAGGGTGCGGGGGAGCTCCCAGGGCACGCGTGAGGGAGCCGGTGCCTGAGTGCTGTTAAGAGGAGGGAGAAACCACTTCGTGCCGTGGCACCGCAGGCTGGGGCGCGCTTCTCCTTCGCAGCACAGTTTACCTGCAAGTAGATGGAGGGACCGGGGGCGAGCCCGTGTGTCCAGAATCAGCTCCGCGTTGGGGGCAGCGAAAAAGGCCAGGCACAGGTTATGTACGCTGCCGCTCTTGCAATACCACGAGGAGTCTTCCTCTTTCGGAAAGAATCGGGGCTTTGAGTTACTGAGAGAGTGAAGATGTCCGTTTTCTCCACACTGCCCTATTCTCTGGAAAGGTATTTTGGCAACCTTTTTGCAGCTTTTCCTGGGTACGGATGTTAGATTCTGTGCGGGATAATAACATATATACACCTTGGTCCCTTTTCTCGGGAGTTCAGTATAGCTGGAAACCACACTACTCGCTGGGTTCAAAACCCGGTTCTCCCATCGTGTGAGCTTTGCAAGTTTTTAATCTTTGCCTCAGTTGCCTCATCTGTAAAACAGGAATGCTGTTTAGTAGTCTGTCTCATAGGGTTGTTAAGAAGGTTAATTGCTTTAATACATATGAAGCAGTTAAAATAAGCCTGGCTTAGTGTGTGTCAGCTGTCATCATTATTGCTCTGTTGTCAGCAGCATCTCGAAGTGACGCAACGTAGGAAGAGATTTCAAATCATTTAAGGACAGAGTAGCCCTTAGTAAAAACGCTATCTTAGAAGAGTAAAGATTATATCTTATGAAAGTTTGTATCCCTCACAATATCTTGCTTATGAGTATATGATAGTTGTTGAATGCATACATGACTGAAGGAATTTTCATAAACTGTCCTAGAGGCAAAAAAAAAAATCATCCTTGGTCTTTACATGAAAGACGATTTTGTTGATATTCATCTTCTAAATCAGGAAGAAACCCAGACTTCAAAAGGGTGCCAAAGTTCTGCCACTTTGGACTTACATCTAGATAGCCAGTTTCTTGTTCCAGTGTACTGGAACTCTACACCTTATTCGCTATAAGGAGATTCACTGTGTTTCATTTGCTCAGTCCTACAATTTAAGTATTTGTCAGCTGTCTATTATAACAGGCTGACATAACAAAAGCTAACTTTAATATGGATCCTACCTTCAAGACCTTACAATCTAATGAGGAAAAGAAAATAATAATGTTAATTTAAATAATTTTATAATTAATAATAATTGTAACATGTTTCATACTGTGGTACTTTGGGAGTTCATAAGAAGGAGAGAGTACTTCAGACTGGTGAGGTTCCTGAGGAAGTAACCTTTAGGCTAGGTCTAAACAGGTGAATGGTATTTTGACTAGGGGATGTGGACAGAAGGCATTCCAAATAGGGGGCACAGTACAAGCAAAAGGAATGAACAGACTGCTGAACAGACTGTGGTACAGTTAGCTAGTGTGAATGGTATATGAAGAGAGCTAGTGTGGTTGGAAAAGGAAGATGAAGCCAGTTCTTGTTTGGTCCAAAGAGTGTATTTTTTTTTAATTCCCTAGATGGAGGGTGGTGGGAGGTAACATGTTGTGGTTTCTTCAAGAAAAATTAACCCAAAAACTGTGTATAAAACTATGTAATAAGTGGTGGAGAACAGCAAGATCAGAGGTGGGTTGGCTTAGCATACTTGAGGTACAGTGTTGGCATGGAAGGGAGAGTGATGTAGTGAAAGTTTCCCTTCAGTAGTAGGACCTTGAAAGACTAATGGGAGTTTGCCCCACCATTGATTTTGGGGGAGGACATCCAGGCAAAGTGTGCAGCTTGAAATTGCTGGGGTGGGGCTGGGGGTAGGGAGTTTCATGTGTGTAAGTCGGTATAGTTGCAGCATAAGGGAAGTGGTAGAAGAATCTGGAAAAGTATAGACAGGACTTAAAAGGCGAATGCAGGCATCCAAGCAAGAGATTGCTTTGGCCTGAACTAAGATAATATTGAAGATGAAAAGACAGAATTTTGGAGTGATTTGGCAATTAGGATTAACGAGAAGATGTTGAGTTCATTTTGGGGCGTGATGAGTGTAAGGTACCTGTGAAACAAACCAGGTGGGCCAAGCAAGCGGTAGGTAGAAATTCAGTCCTGAAGGTTGGGGAATTTGGTGAAGATTTAGACGTGTTGTTGTTGTTGTTGTTTGGTTTTTGTCTGTATAGAAGGTAGTAATTAAAATCAGTTCTCTAGCAAATTAATAGGGTTATAATGAACTCATCAAGGATTTGAATATTATCTAAAAGATACTATAGGGGTTGGCTAGGTTATACAGAAAGAAGGTAATTTTGTATTTTGCTTCAAGGAACTTATCAAGAAAGCTGAAATAGTAAATAAAATAATAGAATTGTGGGATTTTAGCTGTCTCCTCTTGGTCACTGGGGCCTCTTGGAACTAGGACACAAAAACTGTTCTGCCTACTTGAGAAGGTTGTAATGAGAGGCAAGCCGAGAGGTGAGTATACATGAGAGTAGATGGCATTCCTGTATCAGATATTACTGACTCCCGGTCCAGCACTGTATTACATCCTGTTACTTCCCACATTTATAGGATGCTCTGCATTAGGTTGCTAGGATATAGAAAATTTAAAAAGTGGGTCATTTTTGCCTTTTGCATTCTTAAATTCCCACAAAGCTAATGTCCGACTCTAAATATTTTTCTTTTGCAGACCATTCTGCGTACTGCTGCTGTAATACTTTTCCTTAAGTGTTACTGTCATAATATTATTACTCTCACCCTTATTCCTAGTCTTACTCCGAACCCTGTAACAATCTTCTGTTGCCTTCCTTAACTATAGCTCTTTTCTCTGGCTTATGAAGCTTCCCTGATCTAGCTTAACTCTGCTTATCCCGTTGTGTTTCCTGACATAACCCATTGTACACACTTTGCTTGTTAGATAGGTACATTTCCTGTCTCTTGTAGGTTCTGTGTTCGTTATTTCCCAGCTTTTGCTTATGTTGCTATTCTTTTTCCTTCCCAGCTCTTAAATTATGCATCCTTCAGAGCCTCATTTAAGTTCTGGTTCCTGCTTGAAAGCATCCCTAACTTCTTTCTTCTCCACTTCATCAGCAAAGATAATTGAGTCCTGTGTGACAGGCATTGTGGTGGGTGCTTTACATGCATTTCTGTCTGCAGGATTTAGGTATTATCCTAATTTTATGGAAGCATTTATTGAGTGTATACTGTGTGTATTATGGGTGCATTTGCATGTGTTGTTTCATTTCGTCCTCATAATAACCCTGTGAGGAAGTGTTATCTGCATCTTAAAGTGGAGAACAGTGATGTTTTAGAGAAGTAAATTCTCCCAACGTTATTCAGCCCATATGTGGCAAAGCTGGCGTTCGAATCCATTTGTGTTTGACTAGTTAAAAATGCATTCTTTTCCTACTATACTATATTTCTGTTATTAGATTTATAATAAGTACACACACCCTTCCTACTCTCAAAGAGCTTACAGTCTGGTAGGGGAAGTCTTTCAGTATGCCATGTGGTAAGTGCCGTGATAGAGCTAAGCCTACCTACCATCTTGTAGAAACATTCAGAGTGGTGCTGATCTGGAATGAGAAAATGTGGGAAGGCTTCACCTGAGCTGAATCTTATCTTAAGGAAATAGTCATAAGAAAGAGTGTTCTGTGTAGACCGAAAAATTTACAGAAGTATAGAGAGAGCATATCATTTGGGGGCTTGCATTCAAATTTAAAGCCATTCTCTACCTAGGAGCAAGGAGAGAGGAAATTCCTTTCCTCTGGGGAAGCATATCAGAGTCAGGTGTTTTCTTGGCACACCGTACCCCCTCCCCCCACCATCTTCTAAAGGACTGCCTAGAGGACCTGTTAGTACTAATGGAGTATGTCTGTGGGGAGTACGAGGCTGTTGGAGCTGTGAACCACTTAAGTAGAGCATGGTTTTCAAGTGAAAAAGTAGTTCCAGGTAGACCAACTCAACTCACCAAAGGCCTTAAGAGTTTCGATCATATCCTAAAGGCAGTGGGAAAACACTGACAAATTGTAATTTAACTTTACCTCTAAGGAAGTAATGTCAAATTTGCAAAATTAATCTGGTATGAGTAGGAAAGATGAATTGAAGGGCCACACCTAGAGACTATAGGAAGGAAGCCCTTAAGAGTGGTCCAGGCTGGAGATGCTAAGACTCTGAATTACGTTACTCATGGGAATAAAGAGGAGGATCCAGCCAGAAGGGTAACCATAAATCTCAGATGTTTTGTTGCTTGAACTTCCTTAATCTATTAGACGGTTACACACAACCATTTCCTGACTGTCTCCTGGCAACAGCACTTATAAAATGCATCCTGATTTCAGAGAGGTGAACATGTGAAAAAGGAAGTGTCTTAGAACTGATAAAATAGGGTAATGGTAACCCTGGTCAGCATTAGAAGATTTACTCTTTTGTTACTTTGTAATTTTTATTGGTTCATTTTATCCATTTAGTTTACCAAATCTTTGAGGATCGTGTGGGTTCTGTTAAACAAACTAGAGTGGACATTGGGAATCAAAGATAAATTAAGGCCTTTGCCCTATCAGAGCTTATGGCCAGATAAGGAAGGTAGATACATATGTAAACAATTTCAGCACAACATGAAAAAGAGATATATGTAAACAATTTCAGCACAACATGGAAAATACTAGGATCAAGTCATGTACAGGGTGCTTTGAGAGCACAGAGAAGAGGTCTAGCCTAGGAATTCTGTGGTTTGTACCTTCTGTAGTGTGTGGGAAAACCCCCTGCCAGGCATGTATGTTTAGTAATGGCACAGAACAAACATTTTTTACTTTGTAGACATTAGAAGATTTGTACCTCTGAGCTTTGTTCTCTGCTTATATCCATAATGAAAACTGTCAAATAAATATTGCCCCCCACTTAACTACTTTTAGTAATTTAGTAGCCTCTGCCACAAATCCAAAAAGCAAAACCAACATTTTAGCAACAAGAAAAAGAACTGTCACAAAGTCTTTACACTCTGCTATAAAAGAGGCCTTGCCAACTAGAGAGAACTTTGACTTAGTGTTTATAAGGTGGTGTCTCCAGTGAACAGTGAAGAGTGGGGGACATGGGAAGATGCTGTCAGAGTAATGGTGTATAGTAAGTGAATACATAGCACACAATTTTTAATATATAGTTCTTGAAAGTATTGTTTTGAAAGAAGCCTCTGTTGGCAAGTTAAAAAATTTTTCATGGACTATAGAAAAAAATTATGCTCTCGATAGAATGCATGAAACTTAATTTTTCCTTATTTCCAGGTATATCTTCTGTGTTTCTGGAGACTTTGTTAAAGTTCATAGCACAGCTACAGAAGAATGTGTACACATACTGCAAGGGCACAGAAATCTGGTGACTGGAATCCAGCTCAACCCCAACAATCATCTACAGGTGTCAAACGATTTATAATTGACTATTTTAATACTGGCTTTGTTGTTGCCTGAAGATTGTGAATTGATTTGGGCTGGGAAACTTTCCAGGGTGTAATTAGAAAAATACAGGTATCCCTTGCTTTTCAAAAGTTTGTATTATGCTACTTCGTTTTTACAAAGAAAGAAGAAAAGCAAAAATAGCGTTCAGTACTTATTCTGCAGCGAGGTGTTATAGAGGCAGCGTGCGCACCTTCCAGCGAGAGTAGCACATCAGTCTCCTTCCCCAGGAGCTACACTCAGCATCTCAGCACCAAACCACCGTAGCTTTAAACTGCTGTGAGCATCCGTGCTCACATCATACATCCATTAGCAAGATGAGTCCTAGGGTATCAGAAAAGCCTAAGAGAGGTTATTTTGGGGGTCTGGGAACACTCAGAATTTTTCCACATGAATTAATGGTAACTGCTGCTTGTTTTACATCATTTCTACTACAAAAGATTTCATAAGAATACTTTCTCATAGCAGGGGAAGCCTGTATGTTGATTATCTGATTCAGGATATTTTTCACATATATTTAGTTTTTAAAATAGGGTCACAGCCTAGAACTGCATTGCCCCTCATTCTGTGAACCATTTGTTCCAAAGGATGCTACTAGATGTTGCTTGAAAGAAGACATTCTTGGCTATATGAGTTTCTGAAATTCAGGGCTAGGCACAGTTAGATGAATTTCTTGGTTTAGATCCTCTCAGGTCCTTTTATAAGCATTGTGAATATCCAAAAGGGGTGTTTCCCAAGCTTATATGCCCTTGAACCCTTTGGTTTCTGGAACACGTTTTTGAAAATGATGGCTAAAAGGGATTGATTCTGTAGATCTGTTCCCTTATAGATGAGGCTCTTCAATGTTGATGCAGATGTTACCTAATCTTAAGGCCAGTGCTGGACAAGAAGGGCTTCAATGGATGGACCGGTTAATTTCAGGACGAACTTGGGAGTCCAGTTTAATGCAGATCCTTCCATTCACCCCACAAAGCAGCTTTTCTCAGAATTCAAAAATAATGAAATGTCATTTTAATTCTGTCCTTACATTTCAGCAGCTGCTAAAGAGATCTCAAAAACATTTTACTCTTGCTCTCGTTTTTGATCAAGTTCCATTTTTCTAGATTAGTCACAGCTAACTTGGAAGTTATTGCTTGATACAAGAATAGGTTTGCATTGCTATTTACTGTATTATCACAGAGGAAGTAGGACATAAAGTGACAATGATCTTTTCTTTCCAAAATTAAATGAGCTACTGTGAAAATCAAAGTTAAGTAGCTCTTCTGCAGGGTGCAAGCACACATTTCTTTTTCCTTGCTGTCCCCTGAGGGTTTGACAAAACAGCTTATTGTTATGTGTAGCATTTGAATGTTTTTCATAGCAGAGATATCCTTTCTTTAAAATTGGAATTTGTGAAGTCTGTGTTACCAAATTTTGTAGCAAAACAAAAAACATGTACAAAGGATAAAAGATCTATTTCATGTTACTGAAAGTTAATAAAATTAGAGGAGGACAATTTTATTGACAGGTTTGGTTGAGTGATCGGGAGTGCAGATTCTCTGGACTTCGGAGTCATGGGATTTGTGTGCTAACCATTGTATTGAAAGTGATTGTATGGTTGCCTTATATTTTACTGATCCATGTTCATGATTTTTCCTTTGTATGTAGTACTTGTGATGTATATTTCTACTTATTATAATTCTTTTACTTGAATAGGTAATAGTCATCATTTTCTGTTCTCTGATTCCATGTCCTCACTGGCAGAAATCTTAAAATTGTCACTTTCAGAAAACTTGAAATTCTTCATAAACGTTATAAGCGAAGTATTTTTCACAGTAACAGCAACAAGTAATCCACTGTGACCTTAGTAAAATTAAGCCTGTTGGGACAAAAATAAAAGTAAAAGTACATGTTACTAAGGCCTTCTGGTGCTACCAAAGTGTGGTGCACAAACCAGTGCCACAAATGGTTGGTTACCACTCTGCAATGAGAAGAGTGTAGAAATGGAGTGACCCAAAACTTAAGAGCACTTCAACATTGCCACGGGTCCAAGTGCATAATAACTTCTGTTGTGTTTTACAAAAGTATTGTTCCTTGATGTGTTGGACATTTCTTTCTTTCCTTTTTTTGAAAAACAGGACATTCTCAGGTCATCTGAGAAGCACTCCTTTAATACCCACGTAAGATGAAAGCGGTTCTGCTAATAAAAGTGCACTGGGTGCTAGGAGAAATACTAGCAAGCTCTGAAGTGCTATTCATAGCTCCATGACTTACCATCTCCCTCTTGAAGCTAGAGCGTTGACTTTTGTCCCCCCTCATGTATCATATGACCTCACTGATAGGAGGAATTCTTAATCTCAGGAAACAAACTGAGGGTTGCTGGGGTGGGGGGGAGGGATGGGGTGGCTGGGTGATAGACACTGTGGAGGGTATGTGTTGTGGTGAGCACTGTGTATTGTGTAAGACTGTTGAATCACAGATCTGTACCTCTGATATGCAATATATGTTAAGAAAAATAATGCAATATATGTTAAGAAAAAAAAAAGATAGCAGGAGGGGAAGAATGAAGGGGACATCGGAGGGGGAGACAAACCATGAGAGACTATGGACTCTGAGAAACAAACTGAGGGTTCTAGAGGGGAGGGGGGTGGGAGGATGGGTTAGCCTGGTGATGGGTATTAAAGAGGGCACGTTCTGCATGGAGCACTGGGTGTTATGCACAAACAGTGAATCATGGAACACTACGTCAAAAACTAATGATGTAATGTATGGTGATTAACAAAACAATAAAAAAAAATTTTAAAAATACAAAAGCTGTGATTAGATTTTCTATTTTGTAAAAACAGTATGAGTAGATGACTCTGTCTCTTTAAGGCTAATAATTTAATGAACAGAAAATGTCTTCTGTATCACATAATTATTCGTTTGATATCTTAAGTTCTATTTTATAATTTTGTACTGTTTTTACCCTTTTAGTTGTATTCTTGTTCCTTTGATGGCACCATTAAGCTATGGGACTATATAGATGGCATTTTAATAAAGGTACGTGTTTTGATCTTCTATTTTTCTTATTTGAAAAGGGATGGCAACATCATTTAATGACAGACACATTGTTCTCTTCTATAAGGCCTAATCTTTAGATAGCCTTTCTTTTTTTTTCTTTTTTTTTTTAAAGATTTTATTTATTTGACAGACACAGCGAGAGAGGAACACAAGCAGGGAGAGGGGGAGAGGGAGAAGCAGGCTTCTTGCCGAGCAGGGAGCCTGATGCGGGGCTCGATCCCAGGACTCTGGGATCATGACCTGAGCTGAAGGCAGACGCTTAATGACTGAGCCACCCAGGCGCCCCTAGATAGCCTTGCTAAACAAGTTGTGAAAGTCACACACCATAAAAGAAAAGAAAGTTGACTATTTGAAAATTTTAAACTTGAAACAAAAAGATGAGCAATAAAATCAGAAGAAAATACTTAAAAGAGTTACTATCCCTAATATCCAGAAAATACACAGAAAACCAATAAGGAAAAACTAATAACCTAGTAGGAAAAAATTGGCACAGGGTGAGAATATGTAATTCACAGGAAAAAAATAACAGCCAGTAAACATGAAAAGGTGTTTAATAACCTCAGTAATAGGGGAAAATGCTGTGTCATTTTTTTTATCAGTTTAGCCAAATTACAGACTGCAAAAACAATCTAGTGATAGGTAAAGTGTAGAGAAACAGATACTTTTATTTTTGTACATAGAGTACAAATGAAAATGAAAAAATAACTTTTGCTCCAGCAATCTCACTTTTAGGAATCTCTTGTTGAAATAATGACATGTGTGTAATAATTAAAGCATTGTTTATGGAAAAAAACTGAATATAACCTTGATGTCTGTTAAAGTTTCATATTCATTCAATAGAATACCATGTAACCATTGAAAAAAACAGGTGGACCTATATGTATTAATTTGAAAATTTATTTAACAAATATATATCGAGTGTCTTCTGTATACGGGGTATTCTGATGTTGGGATACAGTGGTGAGCAAAATGGATTAAAAAAAAAAAAAAATCCTTGCCCTTTATGGAACTTATGTTTGGGGGTTGAGGTGAGGGTAGACAGACGATAAACAATATGGTACTTTTTATCTTTCAGACTTTCATAGTAGGGCATAAACTTCATGCCCTCTTTACTCTAGCCTGTGCTGAGGATTCTGTCTTTGTTATAATAAATAAAGAAAAACCAGGTATAGTATAATTAATTTATTTTGTTTTATATAGCATTGGATTACTCTTTCCATAGTTTCTCAAAATGTAACAGTTTGGTTTTAGTCTGAAGTTAACAGTGTTTGGAGCTGGAATTTAAATTGCTTCTCTTATTATTGCATTCATTTTGGGGAAGCTTCCCCCTAGTTCTGAAATACACAATGCGAAAATGATTACTAAATATATAGTTGTAATAATAGATTGCAGAGCTCAAATTTCAAAGCTGTTTTGCAGAGGTGGGCTAGAGTTTGTTTTTCTACTAACCTTAATCGGCCATTCTTAAGCGTCGCTGTTCATTTTATCCGTTATTGAACACCCCTTTTGTTGATCCTGAATCTGTCAGAAATGGTATAGAAAACAGTTTGATACTAAGAGCTAGTAGTGTGATTAAATTATTCATTATCATTGGAGCATGATTTCATTGAAATTGCCATGTTTCAGAGCATTTTATGAATTCCTGGAATATCTTCAGTGGTTACAAAAATTGTCCTTCAGCAGTGAATTTGATACATCAGAACATTGACATGAGGGATATATCCAAAGAATTTTTCTAATACTGGAATTCAAGAAGGCCACTGCATCTTCTGGTGTTCTGTATAAAATATAGCTGTCTTCAGAATTCAAAAATGAAAGCTTTAAGATGTTTACTGAGCAGTCTGCTAGGTTGGCTCATGGCTCACTAGCTAAATGAATCCTTCCCATGGTATATTTTTGTTTGTTCTTTGGGTTCAGTTTAGGGGCATGGTAATTTTATTTTTTGTGTGTGTGTTTTTGGCTGGAACAAATTTGCAGATTGTTTTATATCATGGACTTTTTTTTTTTTTTTTTTTTTTTAGATTTTATTTATCTGACAGACGCAGCAAGAGAGGGAACACAAGCAGGGGGAGTGGGAGAGGGAGAAGCAGGCCCCCCGTGGAGCAGGGAGCCTGATGTGGGGCTTGATCCCAGGACCCTGGGATCATGACCTGAGCCGAAGGCAGACGCTTAATGACTGAGCCACGCAGGCGCCCCTATATCATGGACTTTTAAATTACCTGAGAATAGTTAAAACTATAAAAGCTAAATCTGTTTTTTAGCTAAAAATCGTTTGGTGAAGTTTGTTAATGAGTGATATTTTATCTATCAAAAATGTGACATGAAAGAATAAAAGCAATAAGTTCAGTTTTCTTATGTAGCCCATAAACCACCTCTAAAGGATATTCCAAAAAATGTTCTGGAAATGGCAACATTTCTTAAAATAATTAAGTCTCCTTCCTAGTTGACGGTTTTAGATAGCCCTTTTCAGTATTTAAGTTCTGTTTTATATATAAGTGTGTGGATTCTTAATGTCTGTCCACATACTAAAAATTCAGATTCCTAATCTCCCTCACTGACAGTTGATTCATTAGTTTTGAGATTTAGTTTAGGATTCTGCATGTTTTTTATTTCCCCAGATGATTAAGCTCATCCTTCACATTTGGTAACCAGTCTGTATACTAACACCACGATTCCTCAGTTGCAAGGGTAGTTGCTAATAGTTGTAGCAAAACTTTTCATCCATGTTAGTGAGGTCAGTGATTCTTAACACTGGCTGCACGTTAGAATCACTCCAACTAACTTTAGATTCCCTGTGCTGGGGCCTGTTTACTTAAATATTCCCTAGTTGAGTCTAATGTGCAAGCCAGGATAGAAAACTACTGATCTAAAGTAAAGATCTTGGCATTTGCCTTTTGGAGTTAACCAAATGCTATAATGTAATCTGAATTCTATTCATGGTGGGATTCGTGTTACTCTCCAGTACTTAACACATCATGAGACCTCAACGTGTGAAAATCTGTTTAGCTGTTAACGTAAAAATGTGAATCAGGCCTAAGATGGCATTTCATAGAATAGATCTAAATACATATATCCTTCATTAGTTTCATCTTTGTTCCACAATCCGAAACCAGCCTCTGATTGAAAATTGTATAAATCATGTTGAAGTATGCTTCGCTGCTTTAAAAACATTTTTGATTTACATGTCATATTTTATGGTATCATTTTTTGACCGTATGTAATTTATTCATTTAGTATCTAACTGAAAACCTACTACATGCCAGTTACTATTCTGGTTGCAGAGAACAAAACAGACAATCCCAACAATAAGCAGACTAGATCAGTCATCAGATGTAATAAGGTGAAAGATGCTTTAGAGAAAAATATAGCAGGGGAGGAGAATTGGAGAAGCAGAGGCAGCATTGGAGAAGTACATATTTAAATAATTTAAGTGGTTCTGAGAAGAATACTCTGTGCAGCAGTATTGGAGAAGCATGTTCTACAGCATTTCTAGCATGTTTGAGGAATAGCAGGGAGGTTGGATTGGAGTGATCCAGGGGAGAGTAGGTAATAAACAGCTTTATAGGCCATTGAAAGGATTTTGGTTTTTACTCTGAGTAGTTAAAAAGCTGAGTAGTTAAAAAGAGTGAAATGATCTGACTTAGTTGTACTAGATTCTCTGGCTTGACGAGAATAGACTATAGGGGGACAAGGATAGAAGTACAGAGTACAGTTAAGAAGTCCTTGCTTAGGTGGTGAGAAATGATTGTGTTCTGGGTACCTTTGGAAGATACGGCCAACAGGGTTTGCTGATGGTTTGATGTGGGATATGAAAGAGAAGTCTAAGATAACGTAAGGAAGTCTAAGCAGCTGGGTAAATGGTGGTGCCATTTCCTGCAGTGGGTAGAGTTGGGGAAGACTAATTTAAAAAGGAAAATCAAGAGTTCAGGGTTTGGGCATGTGAAGTTTGAGATGACTGAGAAGGCTAGAAGAACCAAGAGTTCAGAGCAAATAATCGGGCTGGAAAATGGTAAATTGAGGTGTTACAGAAGTTTATATTCATTTTAATGTCTGAAGGAATAAGGAAATAGCATAGTAAAATACAGCTATTTTCTCTTGGGAGGTTTTTTAAATGGGATGTAAAGAGAACACGTGACAGTATTATAGAAGAGGAGATATATCTTGTGACTGTGTGGCAAGCACATAGCATTTCTGAAATCGCTCGGATGGGTTGTTGCCTTTGGCTGCTCAGTTCACCAATACACCATATTCCATCTCCATTGTAAAGGGCAGCTTAATACTTTGGAATACAGAATATACCAGTAAGATAAATTGTTTTCTGTTTTAACATATATAGAGCACGTATGTGTAGGAGTTAAGAAATTAGACTTCCATTTAAAACTTGTATATTCAAATGAACAGTCCAACTTGAAGGCACATTTTGTTCAAGATGGCCTGATTTATTGCCATCAAATGAATTCTAGAGTACTAAGTAACAGTTTCATATGAATAAGTGCACATGTTCATTTTCTCTAGAGAAGATTTATATTAATATAGTTACCTTTGGCTAGATGTTTTTCAGCTGGTTTCAGTGAAACTGCCAAAATCATCAAGCCAGGAAATAGAAGCTAAGGAGCTCTCCTTTGTTTTGGATCATATAAACCAGTCACCCAAGTGCATTGCCTTTGGAAATGAGGTAAATTTGTTTTGGTTTTCTATTTTGTACATAAAATCTCTTTGCAGCAATGTTTCCTTTGAGCATTTTATGTTATAGTCACTGAATATTGCCTTGAGTTACAGTATTTTTGTTAGGAGCTAAGAAGTTTGTTCCATTACTTTAGCATGTATTTATGGTGTAGATATTTTAGGATCCTTAATCTTTATATACTTATTCTTGTAAACCCTCTAATTGTTCAAAAAATACCAATATTTCAGCATTTGAACTCTTTCTTAGCCTGCTCCATGTAAAAGCCACTCACATCCTTTCATTTTAGACTATGTGTCTTTAGAAAATATGACCTCCCTGTCCGTAATCAGTGTGCCCATTATAGAAAATTGGGAAGTTAAAAATAAAGTGAAGAAATTAAATCTTAAATCTCTTTCTAGGCTTTTTCCTAAATGCATATAAAATAATTTTTCCCAAACTGAATTATAGGATCTGAAGGCTTTTTAACCTTTGTTTTTACTTAACATTGCAATACAAGTGTATACTTACATGTTCATCAGAAATAATAACTATGATGATTTAGCCTTTCCCTATTAATGATTTAGCCTTTCCCTATTAATAATCACTTTGTTATTTTCAAGTCAAGCAGCACCGGAAGTCCCTAGATGACATTGTGGTGGCATGTTACTGTAGTCTAAGTTTGTAGCATTTTTTTGGTTTTGTTCTAAAGAAAGCTAATTTCTTATAATAGAGAAAACACTTTAACATTAAAGATGGACAGTACTGAGCATTGGCAAGATATGGAGCAAAGGTAAACATCCGTTCTTACCATGAGCCAGCAAGTTCCACTCCTAGGTAGAGAAATGAGAAAATGACCATAAAGTGACATGTACCACAATGATTAGTATTCATAGTAACTCCGAAGTGGAAATAACCTAAATGTTCATCAACAAGAGAATAAATAATTTGTGATACGTATTCATTTATTGGAATGCTACTTCATAATAATAGAAACTAAAGATACAGATAAGAGCATGAATGACTCTCAAAAAGGGGAAGGTGAGCTAGAGTTCAGACACAAAATTGTACATTGCACTATTCTGTTTATATGATATTCTAGAACAGACAGAGAAGTAAACCGTGGTGATAGAAATCAGTGGTTGCTGACAAGGGCAGGGACATTGGGAATGACTAGAAAAAGGAACAAGGAAACATTTCTGAGGTAAAGAAAATGTTCTAAATCTGGTGGTGGTGACATGGATATACATGTCAAATATGGCAATGTTTTGTATATAAGTTGTGCCTTAATGGAAAAAATTCAAATATAGGACCTAAGTTCATCTTTTAATTTTCTATGACGATTTTAAAAGGATTATTCTTTCCATAGCTAACTACATTGTTTTATATTAATGTGCTCAATCTGCAAAAAAAAAAAAAAAAGGTTACTGATGATTAACTTTTGTGATGAGAACATTTCTCGAAAAGTGTTACCTATTTTTGTGAATGTCATCTCTTTGAAATACTAGGGAGAATATGTTGCTGCAGTACGGGACTTTTACTTGTCTGTCTATTTTTTCAAAAAGAAAACAACATCGAGGTAAGAATTTCTTTTTGATAGCTTTATTTACTTGAGTTGGTTGTAATTTTATTTCATCTTCATACCTGTGATCCAGAGCTATTTCTAGTTCATGTTGCAAGTGATTGTGGAACCACTTCATTACAGAGGTAGAGTTTTTAACCCACAATGGATAAGGTTGAAGGAATTATTAGTCACAAAAACCTAGGGAGCTTTGTTCAACCAAAACCCCTTGTCCACTTAGATTCTGGTGTGCATATATGATGTCAACATTGGATGTAGTTTGAAAAGGCTAGCCCAGGTGAACCTTAACTGCCTCTTTTTTTTTTTTTTTTTTTTTTTTTTGGTTATAGGAGTGAATGTAGGCTTTGGGATACCCGGGTTTAAAGTGAGTCAAATTTTGTCTCTTTAAAGCTCAGTGTACCTCAAATTAACATATATTTAAAATGGGGAAAATATCTACCTAATAGAATTGTAAGGATGAATAAAATAACGTATTTAAGGAGACTCTTGTCAAACACAAGTAGTGACTCTTCAAGTGACACTGTCCCCTCTTCCCTTTTACCGTGTCAAGATTAACATGTTTCTCTTTGCAGTATAATAAGGATCCTTATTATCTTTGGACACATTAGCCAGTTGTCTCAGATATAATTTATTAGGCTTGTTCATTACTAATGTTAAAATTTAGCTTCGGTTGACAAGAAATTTGAACAAACTTGGCTCAGGCAAAAGTCACTGAAAGGACTGTCTTGGCTTTACTTTGATGTCAGTGGCCTCCGTAGACAAGTTATCATGGTAGAATGTTGGTCACATGGAGTTTATATTGTATATTAATACGTGTTTGCAAGAAAAATTCTTGATAATCACAATTTTTTTTTTTAAATCATGCATTTATATTCAGTGAATTTTTGGAGCTCTCCAGTTTGGTTGATAAGGGTGTGAACTCTCTTTTACTTAACTACACCACCACTTATCAAGAGACTTTAATAAGGGACAATTTTTTTCTTCTAGGTTTACTTTATCATCATCAAAAAATAAGAAACATGCTAAGAACAATTTTACATGTGTAGCATGTCACCCAAAGGAAGATTGCATAGCAACTGGTCACAAGGATGGCAAAATTCGTCTTTGGTCAGTTCACTTAGGAAATGCATGGTGACCCTTTATATTATTATTTTGTGTTAGTCCTGCAGAACAGAACTATCTTTGGGTTCAGGATAAAGGATAGTACTGGTAGTAGAGATGAGGCTTTGCTGACATCCTCCCTTTCTTGTATTTCTGTGCTCTTCATTGCATAGGCTTATTTTTTAATTTCTAACCTTGGGCTTGTGGGAGGAGTTAAAATTTCCATTTTGCCTGTAATTGTTTTAAGAACTTTTTAATCATTTTTTGCCATTACTTTCCTAACTTAATGCCTTTGGTCAAATTAACAATTTTAGTTTTCTCCAATAGGAGGAATTTTGATGATGGTAAGAAATACACATACACATGTTTACATTGGCACCATGATATGGTTATGGATTTGGCTTTTTCAGTGACAGGTAAGTGAAGTTTAATAATTAAAATAAACTTTGGAAGTATATGGATCAGTATTCACTGCATTTATAGTTTGAAAGGTTTAGAGTTGCATGGACCAAAAGAATTGTAAACACTAGTATATCTCCCCTGTGGTTTGAACTTTCTTCAGCACAGTGCCATACACTATAGGTTTCAGGGTATCAAAATGTACACTTGTGATAAAGTCCTTGTTGTTAACATAAAGAACCTATTAAATTACATTAGTCTTTTAAAATGTAATTATAATTAGCCATGGCTAAGTGCTTGTTGTCCATAAGAGTAGCTATAGTTTATCTTGTACAAATGATTATGCTATGCTTTACATCCACTACCTAATTTAATTCTTGAAGCTATGAAATAGGCATCATTTTGCAGATGAAGTGAGATTTGTAGTTGAGAACTAACTTGCCTAAGGTCGCACAGCTAGTAAGTGGGATTTGGACCTAGGTCTAATTCAAAAATTTGTTTTTAACTATTAGAATGCCTCATTTGCATTCACAATTTAAAATTAATTCAGAACTTGTGTTATTTAAGCTGCATGAGAGTGTGGCTATAGTGATTGACAAAGTACCACATCCATTTATGATAAAACCCTCAAAAAGTAAGCTTAGAGGGAACAAACCTAATCATAATAAAGGCCATATGTGAAAAAACCCACAGCCAATATCATGCTCAATGCAAAAAAACTGAGAGCTTTTCTTCTGCAGTCAGGAACAAGATAGGGATGTCCAGTCTCACCACTGTTATTTAAGATAGTATTGGAAGTCCTAGCCTCAGCAGTCACACAATAAAAGGCATCCAGAGTGATGAGGAAGAAGTAGAACTTTGACTGTTTGCAGATGACATGATATTGTATATAGAAAATCCAAAAGACCACCAAAAAACTGCTAGAACCGATAAACGAATCCAGTAGAGTTGCAGGATACAAAATCAATGTACAGAAATCTGTTGCTTCTATACACCAATAATGAAGCAGCAAAAAGAGAAATTAAGGAATCAGTCCATTTACAATTGCACCAAAAACAGTAAGTTACTTAGGAATAAACCTAACAAAGAGGTGAAAGATCTGTATTTTGAAAACTGTAAAACACTGATGAAAGAGATTGAAGATGACACAAAGAAATGGAAAGACATTCCATGCTCATGGATTAGAAAAACAAATATTGTTAAAAAGTCAGTACTAGCCAAAGCAATCTACACATTTAATGCACTCCCTATCAAAATACCAACAGCATTTTTTCACAGAGCTAGAACAAACAATTCTAAAATCTCTGTGGAACTACAAAAGACCCCAAATAGCCAAAGAATCTTGAAAAAGAAAAGCATAACTGGAGGCATCACAATTCTAGATTTCAAATTATATTACAAAGCCGTAGTAATCAAAACAGTATGGTACTGGCACAAAAATAGACACATACATCAAAGGGACAGAATAGAAAGCCTAGAAATGAACCCACAATTCTATGTTCGGTTAATCTTCGACAAAGCAGAAAAGAACACGGGATGGGAAGAGACAGGCCCTTCAACAAATGGTGTTGGGAAAACTGAAGAGCAACACTCTTACACCATGTACAAAAATAAATTCAAAATGGATTAAGGACATGAGAGACATGAAACCATCAAAATCCTAGAGGAGAACACAGGCAGTAACCTCTTTGACATTGGCTGTAGCAACATTTTTCCAGATAGTTTCCTGAGGCAAGGAAGACAAAAGCAAACATAAACTATTGGGACTTCATCAAAATAAAAAGCTTTTGCACAGCAAAGGAAACAGTCAACAAGACCAAAAGCCAACCTATGAAATGGGAGAAGATATTTACAAATGAACATATCTGATAAAAGTTATATCCAAAATATATAAAGAGCTTATACAACTTAACACCCAAAAAATGAATAATCCTTGCGCAGAATAAACATGGGCAGAAAACATGAACATTTTTCTAAAAAAGGCATCCAGATGGCCAACAGACACATGAAAAGATGCTTAACATCACTCATCATCAGGGAAATACAAATCAAAACTACAATGAGATACTACCTCACACCTGCCAGAATGGCTAAAATAAAAAAAAAAAAAGAATAACAGGTGTTGGTGAGAATGTGGAGAAAGGGGAACCCTCTTGCACTGTTGGTGGGAAATGCAAGTTGGTGCAACCATTTTGAAAACAATATGAAGGTTCCTCAAAAAAAAAAGTTAAAAATAGAACTACCCTACGATCCAGCAATTGCACTACTAGGTATTTACCCTGAGAACGCAAAAATATTAATTCAAAGGGATATATACACTCCAATGTTTATAGCAGTATTATCTACAATAGCCAAATTATGGAAACAGCCCAAGTATCCATCGACTGCTGAATGGATAAAAGAAGTAGTGGTATATATACAATAGGCTATTACTCAGCCATAGAAAAAGAATGAAATGTTGCCATTTGCAAAGACATGGATGGAACTAGAGAGTATTATGCTAAACAAAATAAGTCAGGGAAAGACAAATACCATATGATTTCATTCATATGTGGAATTTAAGAAACAAAGGGAGAAAGAGGCAAACCAAGAAACAAACTCTAAGAGAACAAACGGGGGGGTTACCAGATGGGAGGTGGGTGGGGGGATGGGGATTAAGGAGTTCACTTGTGATGAGCACCAGGTGTTGTATAGAATTGTTGAATCACTATATAGTACACCTGAAGCTAACTACACTGTATGTTAACTGGAATTTAAGTTAAAACTTTTTAAAAGTTATTAAAAATATTTAAAAATCTTCCTTGAAAATAGGATGATCAACATAAATTTTGGGAGGTACATTTTGTCTTTACTTTTAGTACCCTCACACCTATGTAGTAAAAGTTATATCAGTATATTTTGGCTGGTTTCTGAAAAAGGGGGACTGGATGCTAAAGAAGATTATGTGCCTGGAGAAAGTGAATTTTCTTTCAGCAGTTCTTCCTAGGAACTGTCAGAAAAAGTCTTAATACCATGTGCTCTGGATCCTTACAGGGTTACTTGGGTTTAACTCACTGGAACTGGAGCCTCAGGAAGTAGGAGGCATCTTCAGCCTACTTGTGGGTTGGGGTGGGGAACAGTTACTGGTGTATATGGGGGTGGGACCCTGACAGAGTAGTATAACAGTTGTGATATGGGAAGTAAGAATAGAGAATGAAGAGGATATTAACCCTCTGGATAAAAGATGTAGGCTGCTCTTATCTTTTCCACCCTTCTCACAAGCCCCTCCACAAAATACAAATGGTGGGGGCATGTGTGTGTACATACGGATGTCATATTCCATGCAGCATCATTCTGCCTTTCATCCTCAGTTTCATTTTCTCTGCTGTGGCCCCTGCCCTAATCTGGGCCAAGACCAGCTGATACTACTGTCACTGACTTTTCTCTGTTTTGTTACCTTGTTCATCTTGTCTGCCTCCTCTCACACCAGTTAGCAGTCACAGCTCTCTGGGGGGGCTTTACTTAAGCCCTGGAACATTTGAGCCTGGCCTTTTCAGATGGGTCTTGGGGAAGAAGGAGTAGACTATTTGGCACTCAAAGGGAAGGAAAAAATACAGTGCACCTCTACCGTGAGCCAAGGCTTTGGTATAGGAGGTACTGCAGCTAATCTTGGCTTAATAGAGTGTTGAATTCCTGGTTTTATAAGTCATGTGAGTATTTGTAAATAAGAATAAATATAGTACATGTGGGGCACCTGGGTGGCTCAGTCAGTTGAGCATCCCATTCTTGGTTTCAGTTTGGGTTGTGATCCCAGCGTTGTGAGATTGAGCCCTGCATTGGGCTCCACACTGGGCTCAGAGTCTGCTTAAGATTCTCTCCCCCTCTGTCCCTCCAACCTGCTCTCGTGTGCACAGGTGTTCTCAAATAATAAAATTTTTAAAAATATATACACACACACCTATATATGTATATACATATACATATAGTACAGGGTTGTCAGTAAAATGTCAGCATTGATCTTGTATCTGTGTAAGAGAAAACAAGAAGAAAATTAGTTGTCTATGTAAATGAGCTACAAAGTATAGTTGCCTTGAGAACTGGTTATAAGTTCAGGCAAATATGAACAGTATAAACTGTTTTGGCTGTACTTTGCACTCAGTCACACTGTGTGTGAGCACTGAAGTAATTAGTTCTTTCCAATCCTTAATCCCTTCTTGTCTCATGTCAGTATATTAGGACCTCCAGTTAATGCTAAGTTACTGAGAATTTTTATCATGGGAGTAGAATTCTATCATTTATTTTTTCTACATCTATTAAGATACTTATGATTATTCCCTTTATTATGTAAATGGAATTAATTACACTTATTATTCAAGTGTTAAGATAACCTCACATTTTTACGGTAAACTCAGCTCTGCAATATGTTATCCTCTTAATATATCCTTGGATTCAGCTTGCTAATACTTTGGGAATTTTCATCGATCATGAAATTGGCTTATAACTTTCTTATAATTTATTAGGTTGGTAAAGGATTATGTTGTTCTTGTAAACAAGTTGGGAAGTGTTCTTTGTTTTTTGGGTTTTTTTGTTACTTAGAAGAGTATAAAATTGGTTCATTTCTTAAATGTCTGGAAAAATTTGTCATTGAAGCCATCTGGTCCTAGAGGATGTTTGTCATTCAGTTTTTCTGTTATTGGCAGAAGAGTTGATCAGCAACAAACTAGTTAAATATTGTTGGAAAGGAAAATCCCAGAATCAATGACTGTTAAATCTGTTGACTCTTAATCTCAGGAAACAAACTGAGGGTTGCTAGAGGGGAGGCGGGTAGGGGGATGAGGTGGCTGGGTGATGGACACTGGGGAGGGTATATGTTATGGTGAGTGCTGTGTATTGTGTAAGACTGATGAACCACAGACCTGTTCCCCTGAAACAAATAATACATTATATGTTAATAATTAAAAAGTCTGTTGTCTTAAGTTTATTAAAAGATAGGAAGATACTTGTTTGCGTATTTTTAAAAATAGTTTCTATCTCTAACATAGTAGGGAGATTTTAAGTGTTAATTATATTTTTGGTTTTTTTCCCCAAAATACTGTCCTTTTCATTTCCGTGGATGGATGAGAAGGCACCAGTCTTCTGAGTGGTGGTCGTGAATCTGTCCTTGTAGAGTGGCGAGATGCAACAGAGAAGAATAAGGAGTTCCTCCCCCGTTTGGGAGCTACTATTGAACATATCTCAGTCTCACCAGCAGGGGATTTGTTCTGTACTTCTCACTCTGATAACAGTAAGTCTGACTTTGTTGTGAGGAGATAGAATTGTACAACTAGGGAATGGAAAATAAGAGACATAAAACTAATTAAGAGGAGTGTAAGATTTAATGAGCATTATTTCTTCCATTCTTCCTCTTTTCTCGGTTTCCTTTTTTGACTCTAGATGCCACCAAAATCCAACATTTTCAGGATTGTTTTGATAAAAATGTAGGGCCAAGTGTATTTGGTTCTTGTACCATTTCCATTTCAAAACCTTTACATGTGGATGTGGGGATAATAGAGGGAGGGTTTTTGAAGTGGGCATTTGTGCCTTCACAAATGTAATGATGTTTTCAAAAGAACACTTAATGTAGCCACACTTGGTGTGGGGGTCCCATGGGTTCTGACAGGAATAGAGGCAGTCTTGTATACCTCCAAAACTTTTTGCTCATCCTGTTACTACTCAGCCTAAATGTAAATCTCAGGGCCCATTGCCTCCTTTCCCTTCAAAAAAAAAAAAAAAAAAAAACCCATAACTGAGCAATCCGTTAGTGCAATGAGTCATTTCAAAGTAAACTGTCTCTTTTAGAGTATATAAGTTTCTGAATTAACACTTAAAATATATTCATAGGCACAACTGATAAACCTTAAAGCCTCCAAAAAAAACAAAAAAAAACCCTCTTCCCCAGCTCGTTTTTTAGCTAAATCATAAAATATATTCCTGATTTTCTTTTTTTATTCCTGATTTTAGTTCCTGAACTTACTAAGTTGTTTTAGAATCTGGTATATTTTAGAATGACATAAATTCAGTTGATTTTTTTTGACCTTGAAGTTCTGACCAATTTATGGTTTGTTTTTTGTTTTTGTTTTTTTTTACCCACAGAGATTATAATAATTCACCGAAACCTTGAGGCATCTGCAGTAATTCAAGGCCTAGTGAAAGGTATTACAAAACCCAGTGGATTTGTAATCATACACAACTTAAAAATGAATATTTGTATGACTTTAACTATTGTTTGTCACTTCTTTTGCAGACAGCAGTATCTTTACCGGTTTGATGATTGATCCCAGAACTAAAGCTTTGGTTTTGAATGGAAAACCTGGCCATTTGCAGTTTTATTCTCTGCAGCATGATAAGCAGTTATACAATGTAAGATTTTGATCCATTAACTGGCCTTAAAACTAATGAAAGTTTCCAACAGCACCACCAGGGTTAAGTAACTTATTTAGTAGCTTCTAAAACAAGATCCTGTGCCTTTGTTTGCTTGAACAGTTATCAATACTGTCTTTGGTTACTTAGTTGTTTACAGCATAATTCTAATGAGGCCACAGTGGCAAAATAAGGCTACACGTAAGTCAGTTGGCACTCCTGTGCTGGCTCTCCATTTAATTATGTTTCAGACTGCAGTCTAATTAGCTGTCACATACCTGTGCCTTGAGTTACAAGAATAGGGAAATAAGAATATAAGGACTATAGGGGCGCCTGGGTGGCTCAGTTGGTTAAGCGACTGCCTTCGGCTCAGGTCATGATCCTGGAGTCCCGGGATCGAGTCCCGCATCGGGCTCCCTGCTCGGCGGGGAACCTGCTTCTCCCTCTGACCCTCCCCCATCTCGTGCTCTCTCTCTCTGTCTCATTCTCTCTCTCAAATAAATAAAATCTTTAAAAAAAAAAAAAAATATAAGGACTATAAATATAAATATGTCTCTGTTTTCTGCTAAAGTGTTGTCCTGTGTACCTACCAGTGATAAAATTTTCAGTCTAAAGAGGGATCTTATTGATCCAGACTTTCTACTTTGTGCCCCACAGTATCCTTTATTTCCGTCAGCAGCTGTACACTTGATCTTTCTTTCCCTTGCCTTTAAACCCCCCAAAGAAAGGAAACTTAATTCTTTGTACATTTTCAGTACAGTGACTAGAAATAATAATTACTCAATATATGTTTGGTAAGTAGACAAGGGAATGGGATAAAAATCATAAATAAAAGTCTACTTATAACATTGCTATCTTTCTTCACCACTTAAAAATTGTAGATTTTATTTTCTTGTTTTTAGTGATGTGGAATTTAACTTGAGATTTTATGTAAAGCTTTTTGTTGATAGAAACAAGGGAGAAAAGCATTACTATCAATTAAGCGTTCTGTTGTATCACGTACATGGGTCAGTCAGTCATCACTAAAATTAAAGGTCATTAAAGAATAATTGCTACTGAACTGGTGCTATATAATGTGCTTTTTTTAATGGCAGTTTTGATATCCATAACTAATAGTTTGTTTTTTCCTTTATCTGAGAACCTATTACTATAGATTCTAGAAGTTATGTTTATGGTTAGTTACCATTCCTTGAAAACTTTAACATTTACATATTTACATTAATGAGCATTTTGGATTTTTTTTAATCCATCAGTTAGATATTATACAGCAAGAATATATCAATGATTATGGTCTGATCCAGATTGAGCTAACAAAGGCTGCATTCGGCTGCTATGGTAACTGGCTTGCAACAGTGGAACAACGTCAAGAAAAGGAAACAGAGCTTGACTTGCAGATGAAACTGTGGATGTATAATAAGAAAACACAAGGGTAATACTACCTATGTGGCTACTTAACTTCAGAGTAGAAAATATGTGATTTTGTATTTTATGTTTCATTTGTCTTTAGAATGTTTCATTTTGGTAAATTTTAGATTTAGACCAATGAGGGAGGTGTTACTCTCCTAATAAAGCCTGTCAGCTTTTGCTCTGAGAAAGCACTGGTGTCCCCCAAGTTGTAATGTCATCTCCACACATAAATGAGGAAACATGGGAAAGTGACCCCCCTGCCTCCCAAGGACATCAGACCTAATTGCAAGCAAAGCCAGAGTTAGAATCCAAATTTCTCAGTCCCTTTGCTCCTCTATTCACATTATACTACGTTCGGGGAGCATGGCAGTGGTAGGCAGCAGAGGTATACTGTAGTGTAGCATGTATGTTTGATTACATAGAGTTCACTGGTTTCTCAGACTTTGATTATAGTGGCCGTTTATCAAGTCCCTGCTGTGTGCTAAGACCTAGGCTTAGTGCTTTTGTATCTATTGTCCTACCAATTTCATAGAAATACTGTAAGATAAATTTCTTTTCCACATTTTACAGGTTAAAGAAACAGGCCCAGAGGGATTAATAGATTATCGCTAGTCACTCTTCTGGTAGTATGGACTTTTAAAAAATCACAGCACAGGGGCGCCTGGGTGGCTCAGTTGTTAAGCATCTGCCTTCAGCTCAGGTCATGATCCCAGGGTCCTGGGATCGAGCCCCGCATCGGGCTCCCTGCTCCGCAGGAAGCCTGCTTCTCCCTCTCCCACTCCCCCTGCTTGTGTTCCCTCTCTCGCTGTGTCTCTGTCAAATGACTAGAATCTTTAAAAAATAAAAATAAAAAATCACAGCACAGTCTTGCCCCAATGTTCTTTTAAGAACAGTGTGCTAGCTTAGGTTATCCTGCATTTGAAGAGGTAGTTTTCTGTATTTTCTTGTCACAAGTAGGGGCTTTCACGGCCATTCCATTTTTTGCTTATTTTTGAAAGTAGATAATCATCTGAGTTCTGTACAATTTTCTTACAGAGTTTAATGTGGTAGGTTTTCATGTATCATTCTGTGACGACTCCTATTTTATATTCATTTTGTACAAGTTGACAGTATACATAATGATCTCTATATTGTATAAGTTACACAAAGGCAGAGATAATGTGTTAGAACTCTTTATATCCTGTGGCCATTAGAGGTAGAGCACTCAATTGTTTGTCATTCTAGATGATAATGTATCCGTTGCTCATTCTTAAAGATACTATTATAAAATGTACAGTAAAAAATTCTTGTACTCATATGACAGTATATAATACTGTTCTGATGTAAGGCTAAGTTGATGATTTCCTTTCTGTTAGGTTTGTTCTTAATACAAAGATTAACATGCCACATGAAGACCACATCACAGCTCTCTGTTTCTGTAATGCAGAAAAATTTGAAAACCCCACCTTGGTTACAGCTAGTAAAGATGGTCACTTCAAAGTGTGGATATTAACAGATGATTCTGATATATACAGTAAGTTAATTAAATATGGTATGTCTACAGAGTGCATAATTTTAAGAATTGATATCTTTAAGAATTGTGTCCATTCCAGGAGGACTTTTTCTACCTTATTTAACTTCTGTGGGTTATTGCCTAATTGATTTAAGAGATTACATTTTACATGCCTTTTCCCCAAAATCTGTATTTTTTTATGACAGTCTTGATTAATCAATCATGTACTGATTATTTCTGTGAGGGTACAGTGTTGGGGAAAAAAGGCAGTTCTTTCACTGTTCCACTAGAGGGAGGTCAAGATTTTCTGGAAGAGGTATATATTTCAAACCAGTCAGTGCTTTGGAGCATTTCTAACTCAAGTTTCAAGGACCAAGGTTTTTTGTTGTGCTTCTTCTGTAATCCTTACTGCTTATAACTACCCTAAAGTATTATCTAGCATTTATACCATTTCTGAACTATATGATCTATGTTTCCACAGAAAAAGCTGTTGGCTGGACCTGTGACTTTGTGGGTAGTTATCACAAATACCAAGCAACTAACTGTTGTTTCTCTGAAGATGGCTCTCTACTAGCAGTTAGTTTTGAGGAAATAGTTACAATATGGGATTCAGAGACATGGGAACTTAAATGTACATTTTGTCAACGAGCTGGGAATATAAGGTAAATAATTTGGGGAGTATGTCATACTGTTTGTTTTTAATTTAAATGAGTCTTTCCACATAAACTTTTAGTAGTAACTTATGCTTCTTCTAAAGGTGGTCTGTGGTCAGTAGCAAACCAAAGTGGTAGGAAGCTAAAAATTTTGGGTATGTGAACTATTTGCTATGGTTTTACCCATTTCTGAAATGAGGATTAACATTTAACTCTTAACCTACAGATTTTTTTTCTTCATAATAGATACTTTTCGTGGTTGTGCTACCTAAAAATAGACGCTAATAAGCCTCCATGGATCCAAACAATGCTTATCTTCTGTTTTCCCATAAAAACAATGTCATGCTCAAACCTTGTTTGTATTCAAAAAGGGCAAAAGAAAAAACAGCAACATCTGCCACTTCAGGCAGCTGGCATTTGAGGACAGAATGGCAGAGGGCTAACAAGACAGTTTTTAATTCCCAACATACCTGATTCTGAATTTGCTTTGTAAAAATTCTTCAGAATTTATACTGCAAATTTTCTTCTAGGTTAAACGAGCATAAAAAAGGGTTTTGTTAAATGACTTTGTACATTTCACATACATATTGCTTATAGTGTGTGCCAATAAATTATACAGCATATTAGAGCAAAGAATTGGTCATCAAACTTGTTTTTGTAAAGAAACAAAATAGCTAAATAAACCTCTCCTTTTGCTCTCCTTAGTCCCTTTTTCCTGCAGGATAATTGTGAACAAAAATATATCTTTCTAAAAGTCTGCATTGCATAAAACTATACTAGAAGTCTGCAGTCCGAAACTCAGCGTGCTAAAACTGATGATTAACTTCTTGTGGTTTTAACATAGGCACCTTTGCTTTGGGAGATTGACTTGTTCAAAGTATCTTCTTGGTGCTACTGAAAATGGCATTCTTTGCTGTTGGAATCTGCTCAGTTGTGCATGTAAGATTTTTTTTTTTTTTTTTACTATAAAGTGATTTGACAAATCATATGATAAATGGCCATTAAATTTTGGCATTTTAGGACTTCTGGATCATATCTTCATGTCTCTATCCAGAGAGTACTTACAGTTTTTCACATGTCACATTATGCATCAAAATTTGAAGTGCTTAGCCTGTAAGGGATGTACATTATTTGTAATCTGCCTAATTGGCCATAAATTGATTTCCATTATCCTTGCCTTTCTCTGCCATGTATAACTTTCTGTTGTCCTCCATCTTCTCTATTCTCATAACAGCCTGAGGAATGTTTCTGCTGAAATGTAACCTGTATTAACATGCAGCATCCATGGCAGCTTTAAATTTGAATGTCTCCTTTCACAAGCCTCCTAACAAATGTGGACTTCGTTTTTACTCATTTTTACTTATTGGCATTTTACGCATTTGAGTATGCTTGGAAGGCGTGGTGGTTTAGTAATGAACATGTATGATACTCTGTTTATATATATTCTCTACAGTGATTCTTAACATTTTGCCTGTGTTAAGCTGCCAAAAGCACCAGACAGTAGTTGCACTGAAATAATAATAACCATTTCATAGTATGTGGGAGGAGTACTTGGTTGTTCTGCTTCCTGCCCCTTGCTCTAGTGCAGGCTTCCACAGACATTTTCAGTTTGTCTCCATGTGTTATTTGGAAGTCTAATATCCCTCTTCCTAAGAATAGAATTGTCCCAGTAAAAATTGAGTACCTACTTTAAATAACAAGCTTAAAAAAGTTTCTGGTAAATCTCTTTCTAGAAATGAATTGTTCTTTTTTCCCGCCAGTGGAATGGAGTGCAAAATTAAACATTAGAGTTATGGAACCTGATCCTCATTCAGAGAATATTGCTGCAATCTCTCAGTCTTCGGTGGGTTCAGACTGTAAGTACAGACCATAGTTTGATAATAAGAGGAGATCTATTACCTAAATTTTCTTTTTAACATCTTTAATATAAAGTGAGTCAAACTGCCTTTAAATCAAATGTTTATTTTAGGCCATTTTGCCAGAGGTACTGTTCTCTCTTGAGTTCTTACCGTGACGTCTTGTTCTGTGTGCACTCATACTGACTTCTGGGAGAGCTCCAGTACATCTCTCATTTTCACCATGCCAGTCCCACTCCACATTCAGAACGTCCCAAGAGAGATTTTGCCCCTCTGGAGCATTTTAAGAGGCTTTAATCAGTCTTCCCCCGTCTTCTTGAAGCACTATCTGCAGATCGCTGTTCCAGTACCTAAGACAAAATATCACAATATTTTGGTGTCAGTCTTCTGCGGTTGGCCACCCTGGTCTCTGGAGCAGGGGTTCTTCTTCCTCCTTTTCATCTTCAGAGCCCTCATTCCTAACTGCTTGGCACATAGCAGGCATCCAGTAGATATTTGAATTAAAGCCTAAAATAATCATGACTTGGACCATTTACTCAATGGGGTAAGTCCCAGGATTAGTGTGGGCTGTCAACCTGAGGCTGGAACTAACCTTTGCATGCAAAATGTTATGGTCTGTTTGTTTTTTTCCCTCTAGTGTTTGTATTTAAACCCAGTGAGCCAAGACCATTGTATATTCAAAAGAATATCTCCAGAGAGGAAGTTCAGTGGGGAGTGTTTGTTCCGCGAGATGTGCCTGAATCATTCACCTCAGCTTACCAGTGGCTGAACAGATCCCAGTTTTACTTCCTAACAAAGTCACAGGTAACCATCCCACCTCAAAAAGGCAACCACTTTGTATATGTAATTTTCAGTTCGTTTTATATTTGAAAGTAATAACTCATAACAGGTGGAACAGTAGTACTAAAGGATTACTTCCCAAAAGAAGTAATCTAATATGCTCAATAAAACAGTATTACTAGTGTTAAGTGTATTAGCACAACTTTACCCCACACCTTTGAGGCTCTTTAAGTATTGTTTGCGTTATCTCCATGACAGCAAAAAAAAAAAAAAAAAAAAAAAATACTTTAAATGGTACTTATTAGTGTGGTTTTTTTTTTTTAATTTTAGTATTTGATTTGCTATAATAAAAACTGGCTTCAGTTTGATCCATCAGTTGAATCTATTTCACTACCAGTTCTTAAATAAGTGTTCTCAGAACAATCTTGTAACTGTCACAGCAATTATGTTTTAAGCCTTCTATTACTTTTCTTTGGGCAGATATATATATGTGTGTATATATATCAAGATGAAAAATGGACCTCATTTTTTAACTATAACATTTTTATTTAGATTTTGCATCATTAATCTCTCTTTTCAGAGTTTATTGACATTCAGTACAAAGTCTCCAGAAGAGAAACTCACACCAACAAGCAAACAGGTATGTTTTAGCCACTCATGGTGCAGACTGCATTGCCTCCCTACAGAGATAACCTTATCTGTTTGAAATTTAGCTATGAGAAAAATGTTCCACCTGCCCTAACATGGAATTAAACATACACTTGAAAGCTACTTTGCCTCTTTGAGGTTATATTTACTCTTCTAAAATATAGTTTTAATTTGTAACGTCAAAAATATATGCTTGTGATTTGAGTCAAATAGTTATACAAGACTTTCAGGAAAACTTCCTAACACCACTGCCATTACCCGCAAAGATAATCACTTTCAACTCTTTTAGCTGGAGTTTTTATTTGCCTTCCTAAGAAACATGTTTATATTGCTAATTCTGGATTTTTCAGATTTAGTTACTGTCTGATTATTCAAGTTATTACTCTTTTTCATACCACCACTTCCCCCATGTACATAACACACACACCTTTCCTATTCCTCAGTTTTCTCAGTATAGATAAATCAGGTCCGTATTCATTATAACTGTGTAAACACAGTTGAGTCATGTAGTAACCAGACAGATTGTTTTCTTTTTTGCAACACTGTTTTCTCTGGAGTTAATGATTGCCACCTTCTTATTTGCATAGTTTTCTATTTACTTCTCATCTAATTCACCCCCAAACTCAAGTTGTTTAAATCTTCTCTCAGTATTTCAGATATATTAGGTATTCTTTCAAGTCTTAAAGGAATATTTCCAAGAGCCTCTGACTTGCTTCAATCTGGACCGATTGCTCTATGAATACCTGCTGCCCAGGAGGCATAGGATCTACATTCGCCATCAGTTGGGGAATCATTTCACTTCTAGCTTTCCCCTTGCTTCGATCACTTCTTTGCTTTGGTGTGAAGCACATTCTGTTAGTGCCATGTGAGGCAAATTTAAGACGTTGTGTGTTTGGAAATGTTTCTCTTCTCCCACTTGACTGGTTGGTCGAGTTATAAAGTTATAGGTTGAAAATCTTTTTCTCTTAGAACTTTGAAGGTATTGTCCTATTTTATAGCTTTGGGTGTTATTAGAAGTCTAATACCATTCTTATTCCTGTTCCTTTATGTGTAAACTAGCTTTATTATCCTCTGAAAACTTAATTGAATTTGTTCAACAATTTTTTGTTGAACCGCAATAAGCCAGGGTCTGTTCTAGATGCTTGGAATACACTCAGTGAGCTAACATTCAATTCTCTAAACTTAACAGCGTTCACAATCTAGCAGGAAAATACAACAAGCATTAAATAAGTGAAATGTAGTACTTTAGAAGTGATAAGAATAATGGGTGGAGGAATAGAGGAAAAGGGTGTGGGGTGCAGCTTGCCATTTTATGTAGGCCAGGCAAAGTAGGCTTTGTGAATAAAATAGAATTTGGCTTTTCCTCTGAGTAATATGTGGAGCCCCTTGGAGAGTTTTAATCCAAGAAATGACTAAGAATGAATTACTTCTTTTCCTTCATTTTCTGTTCTTTTTCTGGAACCCTTGTTATTTAGTGCTGAACTATCATCTATTTTCTTTGTTTTCTGGGAGATTGTTTCATCTTTATCATCTAATCTGCTTTTTTTGTTTTGCATAGTCCCATTTCTATCATTTGTTTGTTTTCCATCTGTTTTAGTCTCTTTCATTTCACAGGTTTTCATCAGAATCTCATGATTCTCGACTGTCTGCTTTTATTTAAAAGTGATCCAAAAAGCCATTTGGAAGGTCTCTGCCTAGGTGGAATTTGTCTGCTGGCCTCTACCACTGGCTGTTTTTGAGAAAGTCTCCAAAGTCATTATTTTTAGGTTTTTTGTCTTAGGCTGGTCAGATTGCCCAGATAAAATTCTTCTAAATTCTTGCCTGGAGGCTAGCAGCCTGGAAGCACCCTCTATGAAGCACAGCTGCCTTCAGCTGTGAAGACACTGCCACCAAGCCCCCCAGGCAGTTCAGTTTAAAGACACACTTTTGTTCCACTCTCCAGAGAATGTACTTCCAGCCCTCTCTTGGGGCTCAGAAGGAGATCTAGGAATATGAATGCTCTCTAAATGGACTTTCAGCCAGGCTACCCGGTTATTAGCCTTTTTCCAAGGTACTGTTACTATTAGTACCAATTCCTGAGCATTTGCAGGATTCAGCAGTATAAATTGGGATGTTTCTTGGCTTTCCCCCCAGCCAGCTTAGAATTCTTTCTCAGGTCTACTAAGTTACCTACTACCCTTGAACTTGCTTTCCACCTTCCAGCATCTTACCCATTTTCTTTCTCACCGTGGGTTTATGTCCTTTTGAAAACCCATTTGCTGTCATTTCATTGGGGGAGAAGCAGTAGTGTGTATTTTTTCTGTCATCTAAGTGTGCACTGTTAGCTTTTTCCCTAATAAATGGGCTGCTAGGCCTCAGTTGCTTTACCTGTAAAGTGAAAAGAATCATACCAGATAATTTTTAAAGTTCCTTTCATCCCTGACATTTTAGGACTGCAACACTTTTTATTGAGTCCAAGGCAGTTCCTCCTTTTTAATTGAAGAAATTTTCCTTTGTCTTAAATCCTTATAGCTACTAGCAGAAGAAAGTCTTCCAACAACACCGTTTTATTTCATATTGGGAAAGCACAGGGAACAGCAGGATGAAAAAATAAATGAGGCTTTGGAGAGTGAACTAGTACAACTACCCTTAACAGAAAACATACCTGCAATTAGTGAGGTAAGTAATTCACAATATGAAACAGATTAAATACATTAAAGCACCTTAAGTTAGAGTTTCTATAATTTGTAACATAACTTTTTTAAGATTTATTTCAGAGAGAGAGAGAGTGTGTGTGAGCAGGGGGAGGGGCAGAAGGGGAGAGAGAAAACCTTTCACAGCCTGACACAGGGCTCCATCTCACCACCCTAAGATCAGGACCTGAGCCGAAATCAAGTCAGGTGCTTAAGACCAAGCCACCCAGGCGCCCCTGTAACAGATAACTTTTGAATAATTATTTGTATACTGTGCAGTTCTAATATGCAAACCAAATAACATAAATTTATGATTCCAGATTACTGTGGTCTGAACTGACAGGAGGGGAGAGAGGATTGTTTGTATAATTGTCAGAAGGCAGGCATAAATTTTTTTTTTTGGTTTGGTTTTACTGTGGAAAAAGCCTGTTGCATTTAGCTGGTGGCATTAAGTCTTTTTAAATGAAGCCCTATTTTTCTGGGTTTTTTTACTCTAGCTTCTTCATACTCCAGCCCATGTATTGCCATCTGCTTCTTTCCTGTGCTCCAAGTTTGTAAATTCACTGCTGCTGTCTAAGGAGACAAAGAGGTAAAGCAGTTTTTAAAATATGTTTAGATACTGTTTTGGGAAACAGGATAGTTTGTTACCCTTTCTTAGAATACTCTTAAACTGTGACCCTTCAACAGTGTGTGGGGTAGGACCACCGACCCCCTGCATAGTCGAAAATCCACACATAACTTATGACTCCCATAAAACTTAACTACTAATGCCTGATGGTGCTTGGAAGTCTCAATAACGAACAGTCAATTAACACACATTTTATATGTTATGTATATTATATACTGTATTCTTACAATAAAGTAAGCTAGAGAAATTAAAATCATACAGAAGAGAAAATAAATTTCCAGTATTGTATCAAATCCATGTATAAGTGGATGGGTGCAGTCCAAATCCATGTTGTTGAAGGTCAACTGTATTTCTCTTTATTTTAGCTTTAATATGCAGTTAAAGGACATAAGACTATTAAACCAAGTGAATAAAATACATTGAAAATAATTATTAGATCTCGTGTGTGTGGTTTAAGGAATTGATATAACTAAAAATTACACTTTGTAAATTCACCTATTCTTTTATAAGAACCCATTTTTGAAGTGCACTCAATAACAAGATTTTTCATTTACTTTCCCTGTATGGTTATAATTCTACATAGGTGTCTTAAATTAGAAAGTTATTTAGAAACTTTTTAAGTAATAGTTTATATTTTATTCTCTTATCATGAAAGTGGTGAAGAAGTCCCTGATGATGTAGATATGGAAGAAGAAAAAGAAAGTGATGATTCAGATGAAGAAAATGATTTTACTGAAAAGACCCAGGATACAAACGACACAGATTTGGGAGAAGACATTATACACCAGTTGTCAAAATCTGAAGAAAAAGAACTAAGAAGATTCAGGAAAGTAGACTACAGCTGGATAACTGTTCTTTGAGCCTTGGAGATGGAAGGTTCTTGCATTTTGTTTGTTTTTTTTTTTTAATTATATATTGATACTCCAAAAACATCTACTTGATGTTATTTCTCTCCTTAAAATATTAAATATGAACAGGCTTTACTTTTTAAATAATTGGTAATACAAAGCTGTGTTTGCATCATGCATTAGAGTTGCTGGGTGCATTCATATACACACCATCTCATTTTTACAGCCTTAGAAATATCTAGCTATTTTCTTCACAAGCAATTACAGCGTATGTCGCCTTATCTGCAAGTTGGAGATACAAAAGTTTTTGTTGATGATATTGTTAACAGCAAAATTTACTTGGTGGCCAATAGGACCTAAACAGATGTGTTGTTTTCTTTAGTCCTGCTTCATACATCTTAGTGTGTTTATTACTCAGAGAAATTTAGAGAAATAATTTGATTATGTGGTGTTCCACAGACCACATCGAGGGTATTAAATCATAATAATAATATGGGCCGCCTAAAATCTGAAAAATTCTAAAGTGAAATCATTTGGCACCAAGCCTTTCAGATAAGGGCTTATCTAACTCTACTTGGAAAGCCTTGGAAGATATAAGAGCTGCTATTACTTTGTCAGTGTTATGGGTGTAGGAACCACTACTTTTTAACCAAAGTCCCATTGCTAGTAGACTAGGATCCAAGCCTCTGTATTATATTTAAGTAGTGAGGTGACTATTTTTTAACCATTTAGCATTTGGAGTTTTCCTATTTTACTCCTATTAAACTGACATTAAAAAGTTAACACAAAAACAGTAAAGTATACAACTTTACAGTCCAAGATAGTGTCATAGGAAGACCCTGAACTCACCTCCTCCACAGACACACCAAATCTATACCTGTTTCTGGAGCACTTCCTCCAGAAGAACTGAGGGCTGACTGAACAGCTTCTGCACAACAAAAGACAGACTACATACAGAACAGCAAGAGAGACAGTAATGAAGAGCAAACTGCAGTGGGGTGAGATAATACTGAAGAACCACATGCAAGCAGATTTGTCTGCCCTGGGGCACAGGAACAAAAGCCATGGTTTAAAAGAGCAACTAGAATGTAAGTATTCAGCCCTAGAACTGCCAACCGGTGGGAGAGCTGCTGGAACTTTCTCCAAGTTGGAAGGCCTGGTGGGTGCCACAGTTTATGTTCTCTCTCCATATTGGATAGCATGGATGGGAGTAAGGTCAGGGCACCCTAACCAGCCTACCACTTCAGTGAGTCCCTGGCCCCTAGCCCATACCAGCCCCAGCCATCCCACCAAAGTGGCCCCATTGTGGTATACACTGGACACCCCTGTTCAGGCCTCATTGTGGTTCCAGGCATCTTGCCAAGGTGACATGGGTGCAGAGCACCCTGGAACACTCCAAGCCCAGACATCCTACCAGGGCAGCCCCAGCAGAGTGAACTGGGATCTCCAGCCCATGCCAGCCACAGCGCCAGCCAGCCAAAGTCGCCAGGCATACACAGTTTATATAGAAGATGACCATACACAAGACCATTCAAGTTTAGGAGAAGTAGCGGATCCACTTAATATATAGACACATACACAGAAAGTCAAGCAAATTGAGACAGAATATGCTCCAAATGAACAAGACCAAACCTCAGAGAACTAAGTGAAATGGTGATAGGCAATATGCCTGATAGAATTTGAAGTAATGATCATAAAGATGCTCACCAGACTGGAAAGAAGAGTAGAATAACTCAACTTCAATAAAGAGAAAATACAGAAAACCAATTAGAGTTGAATGCAATAACTGAAATGAAAAATAAACTAGAGGGAATCAACAGAGAATGCAGAAGAATAGATCAGCAATCTGGAAGACAGGCTAATGGAAAGCACCCAAGCTGAACAGAAAAAAAAAAAAAAAAATTTACAAACTGAAGATAGGATAAGGAATATGTTGGACAACATCAAGCCAACAAACATTCACGTATAGGGGGCCCCAAAAGAAAAAAGTTTCAGGCAGAAAACTTATTTGAAGAGAGAATAGCTGGAAACTCCCCTAACCTGAAGAAGGAAGACACCCAGGTTCAGAAAGCACAAAGAGTTCCAAACAAAATGAAACCAAGGAGGTCGATACCAAGACACATAATTAAAATGTCAAAGATTCGGGGCACCTGGGTGACTCAGTTGGTTACGTGTCTGCCTTCAGCTCAAGTTATGATCCCAGGGTCCTGGGATTGAGCCCCACATTGGGATCTCTGCACAGTGGGGAGCCTGCTTGTGCTCTCCTGCTCTCTGTCAAATAAAATCTTTAAAAAATAAAAAATGTCAAAGATTAAAGATAGAGAATTTTAAAAGCAGCAAGAGAGGCAAATAGTCATGTAAAAGGGAAACCCCACAAGGCTATCAGCTGATTTTTCAGCAGAAACTGCAGGTCAGAAGGGAGTGACATGATCTATTGAAAGTGCTGAAAGGAGGGGCACCTGGGTGGCTCAGTCATTAAGCGTCTGCCTTTGGCTCAGGTCATGATCCCAGGGTCCTGGGATCGAGCCCCACATCAGGCTCCCTGCTCAGTGGGAAGCCTGCTTCTCCCTCTCCCCCACTTGTGTTCCCTCTCTCGCTGTGTCTCTCTCTGTCAAATAAAAAGTAAAATCTTTAAAAAAAAAAAAAAATGCTGAAAGGAAAAAAACCCTACAACCAACGATACTCTACCTAGCAAGGTTATCATTCAGAATTGAAGGAGAAATAAAGTTTCCCAGATAAATAAAAGTTAAAGGACTTCATCACCACTAAACAGGCCTTATAAGAAATGTTAAAAGGAGCTTCTTTAAATGAAAAAAAAAGTAGAAATAGAAAAATTATGAATAAAGATAGAAAATGTTTATACATGAAACATGGAGTAAAAGTTCTTTTAGAATGTGTTCAAACAAGTGATTATCAATAATATAGACTATACTTAGAATGTCATAGATGAACCTCATGGTAACCACAAACCCAAAACCTATAATAGGTACACAAAAAATAAAAAGCCAAGCATAACATTAAAGAAAATCATCAATCACAAGGAAAGCAGGCAAGAGAAGAAAGGAACAGAGAAGTACTAAGAAAACCAGAAAGCAACAATGGCAGTAAGTACATACCTATTAATAATTAACCTTAAATGGTCTAAATACTTCAATCCAAAGACATAGAATGGTGGAGGAAAGAAAGATTTAATGTGCTGCCTATAAGAGACTTCAGACCTTAAGATACAGACAAACGGGGGCGCCTGGGTGGCTCAGATGGTTAAGCATCTGCCTTCGGCTCAGGTCATGATCTCAGGGTCCTGGGATCGAGTCCCGCATCGGGCTCCCTGCTCCTTGGGAACCTGCTTCTCCCTCTGCCTCTCTCTCTCTCTTTCTCTCATGAATAAATAAATAAAATCTTTAAAAAAAAAAAAAGATACAGACAAATGGAAGTGAAAGAGTAACAATATTTATATTAGACAAAATAGACTTTAAAACAAAAACTATAGCAAGAGACAAGGGCATTACCTAATGATAAAAGGATCAATCCAACAAAAAGATAAAACAACTGTAAATCCCTATGCACCCAACATTAGAGCAACTAAGTACATAAAGCAACTATTAACAGACATAAAGGGAGAAGTTGATAATATTAATAGAAGAATAGTAGGAAATTTTAACACCCCACTTACATCAATGGATAGATCACCCAGGCAGAAAATCAATAAGGAAACTGTTTTTGAACAACACGTTAGACCAAATGGGCTTAACAGATATATTCAGAACATAGCATCCAAAAACATCAGAACACACATTCTTTTCAAGTGCGCATGGAACATTCTCCAGGATAGATGACAGGCCACAAAACAAGTCTTAACTAAATTTTTTTTTTAAAGATTTTATTTATTTGAGAGAGAGTGAGAGGGCAAGGCAGACTCCCCGATGAGCAAAGAGCCCGATGGGCTCGATCCCAGGACCCTGAGATTATGACCCGAGCCGAAGGCAGGTGCTTAACTGACTGAGCCACCCAGGTGCCCCAAGTCTTACTAAATTTAAGACTGAATTCATAACACATCTTTTCTAACCACTATGGCAAGAAACTAAAAATCACAAGGAAAAAAAAATGCTACTAAACAACCAATGGATTAATGAAGAAATTAAAAACACGGAGGAAAATGAAAACTGTCCAAAGTCCTTGGGACACAGTGAAAACAGTTCTAAGGAAAATTTATAGCAATCCAGTCCTACCTCAAGAAACAAAAATCTCAAACAATCTAACCTTATACCTAAAGGAACAAAAAAAACCAACAAAAAACAAAGCCCAAGATAGTAGGCAGGAAATAATAAAAATCAGAACAGAAATAAGTGAAATACAGACAAAGTAGAAAATACCAAACCAAGAGCGGTTTCTTTCAAAAGATAAAATTAATGAAACTTCAGCCACACTCATCAAGAAAAATAGAGTACAGAAAATCAGAAATAAAAGACATCACCACCACCACCACCACCACAAAAATACAAAGGATTTTGAGACTACTACAAAAAGTTATATGCCAACAAATCAGACAACCTAGAAGAATTCCTAGAAATATAGTCTTCCAAAACAATCAGGAATAAGAAATCTGAAAAACAACTACTAGTAACAAAATTGAATTTGTAATCAAAAAACTCCCTAAAAACGGAAGTCCAGGACCAGAGGGGTTCACAGTGAATTTTACCAGACATTTAAAGAGGAGTTAATACCTATTCTAAAACTATTCCAAAAAATTGAAGAGGAAGGAAAGATTCCAAATAAATTCTACAAGGCCAACATTACCCTGATACCAAACCAGACAAAGACATTACAAAAAGGAAAACTACAGACCAGTATCCCTGATGAACATAATGCAAAAATCCTCAACAAAATATTAGCAAACTATTCAATAATACATTGAAGGTATCGTCTACAAAATCAAGTGGAATTTATTTGGCCGATGCAAGGAAGCTTCAGTATTCACAAATCAACATGATACATTATCAAAATAAAGGATAAAAATCAGATCTCAATATTTGAAGAGCATTTGACAAAATTCAACATCCATTCATGAGAAAACTCAACAAGTGGGTGTAGAGGGAACATACCTAAACATAATTAAGGCATTATATGAAAAACAGCTAACATACTCCAGTGAAAAACTGAGTTTTTTTCTAAGAACAGGAATAAGACAATGATGTCCACTCATCACTTTTACTCAACATCATATTAGAAGTCCTAGCCACAGCAACCAGACAAGAAAAAGAAAAGATACTCAAATTGGTAAGGAAGAAGTTAAACTATCACTATTTGCAGACAACATAAAATATTTTACATAGGACCTAAAGACTTCAATACAAAACTATTAGGAATAATAAATGAATTAAGTAACATTGCAGGATACAAAACTAATACAAATCAGTTGTGTTTTCATACACTAATAACAAAGCAGAAAGAGAAATTGAAAAAACAATCCCATTTATAATTGCATCAAAAATAACAAACATAACCATGAAGGTGAAAGGCCTTTACTCTGAAAACTATAAAACACTCTTATGAAAGAGATTGAAGACAACACAAACAAATGGAAAGATAGTCCATGCTCATGGATTGGAAAAATTAATATTCAAATGTCCATGCTACCCACAGCAATCTATACATTCAATGCAATCCCTACAAAATACCAGCAGCATTTTTCACAGAATTAGACCAAATAATAAAATTTATATGGAAACTCAAAAGACCCTGAATAGCCAAAGCAATCTTGAAAGAACAAATGGAGGTATCACATTCCCAGATTTCAAGATATACTACAAATCTGTAATAATCAAAACAATATGGAACTGGCACAAAGATAAGACACATAGATCAATGGAACAGAGCGCCCAGAAATAAATCGATGCTTATATGGCCAACTAATATACAGCAAAGGAGGTAAGAATATACAATGGGGAAAAGATGGACTATTTAATAAATGGTGCTGGGAAAACTGGACTGGACAGCTACTTGCAAAAGAATGACACTGAACCAGTTATACCATACACAAAAATCAGAATGGATTAAAGACATAAATGTAAGACTTGAAGCCATAAAACTCCTGGAAGAAAACAGGCAGTAATTTCTCTGACATCAGCAATAGCAACATTTTTCTAGATAGGTCTCCTGAGGCTAGGGAAACAAAAATGAAAATAAACTATTGGGACTACACCAAAACAAAAAGCTTTTACACAGCAAAGGAAACCATCAACAAAAAGGCAACCTGCTGAATGGGAGAGAGATTTGCAAATGACATCTCTGATAAGGGCTTAATATCCAAAATATATAAAGAACTTCTACAACTCAACACCGTAACAAACAATCCAATTAAAAATGGGCAGAGGACCTGAATAGACATTTTTCCAAAGAAGACTATAGATGACAGACTCGTGAAAAGATGCTCAACATCACTCACTAATCAACAGAGAAATACAAATCAAAACCACATGAGATATTACCTAGACCAGCTAAAGTCAAAAAGACAAGAAATAACAAGTATTAGAAAGGATGTTGAGAGAAAGGAACCCTCATGAACTGTCAGTGGGAATGTAAATTGGTACAGGCATTGTGGAAAATAGTATGGAGGTCCTCAAAAAATTTTAAAGTAGAAATACCAAATGATCCAGTAATTCCACTACTGGGTATTTATCCAAACCAAAAGAAAACACTAATTTGAAAAGATATATGCACCCCTGTGTTTACTGTAGCATTATTTACAATAGCCAAGATATGGGGAGCAACCTAAGTATCCATTGACAGATGAATGGATAAAGATGTAGGGTGTGTGTGTGTGTGTGCACGCACATGTGCACATGTGTCTGTGTAAAAAATGGAATATTACCCAGCCATAAAAAAGAACAAGATCTTGCATTTGTGACATGGATGGAGCTAGAGGGTATTATACTAAGTGAAATGAATCAGAAAGATAAATACCATAAGATTTCATTTACATGTGGAATCTTAAAAACAACATAAATGAACAGACCCATTCAGAGAATAAATTGGTGGTTGTCAGAGGGAAGGAGGTAGGAGGATGGGCAAAATGGGTGAAGAGGAATGGGAGATACAGGCTTTCAGTTACGGCATGAATTAGTCATGAGGATAAAAGTTTCCACATAGGGAATATAATCAGTGATATTGTAATAGTGTTGTATGGTGACAGATGATTGCCCCTGGTGAGCATAGAGTTGTTGCATCACCATGTTGTACACCTGAAACTAATATAACATTGTGTGTCAACTATACCTCAATTAAAAACAAAACAGTAAAGTATACAAATCGTAAGAGCACATCTCAACAAATATTAACGAAAATGCTATAAATGGCTTTTCAGTGTGTTTGAGTCAGTATCCAAGGCCTATACAATTTTTTTAAATAATAGCAAGGTTGAGATGTAACTCACACACTATACAATTCACTCATTTAAAGTGTACAATTCAGTAGTTTTTTAGAATATTCACAGTTGTATATCATCACCACAATCAGTTTCAGATTATTTTCATCACCCCAAAACTCAGTGCATTAGCTATCACTTCCCATTTCTCCCAACCTACCCCATCCCACACCTTAGGCAAAGATAATACTTCTGTCCTTTCAGATTTGTTTATATGGACATTTCATATAAATGGAATCCTATCATATATGTGGTCTTTTTTTGGCTGGTTTCTTTCCTTTAGCATTCGTGCTATACTATGAATCAGTATATCATTCCTTTTTATTATTTTCATTTCTCCTGGGTATATACCTAAGAGTGGAATTACCGAGTTACTTGGTAAGTCTGTTTAACTTTTTGAAGAATCACAAGACTTACAAATCAGTCACAGAATTTTACATTATTTACATTATGTGGAACATTCATTGTTCCATAATCTGGTCCATTAAATTTAGGTCCCTTTGCAGGGTTATGTTTTGAGGCCAGTCTTTGAGGTTTTTTTCTGATCCCAGGAGGATGTTTTTTAGCTGTCTCTTCCTGTTTCTCTCTGGTAAACTAGCTGGTTTATAGTTTAGTTTATTGCACTGATGGAGCTACTTACAAACCTCATTTTAATTGCTTATCACCAAAATCTCCATTGTTTTCAGGGACACCCTTAGGCTCGAACTTTATTTCAAATAATGTCAGAGCTCTCTATTCTTATGGATTGACCCTGGGCAAAATCTGTCAGCCACAGCTCCAGAACTAGGGTAGACACAATGGCCCTTTCTCTCATAGTGACACCCTGCTTTACAAACTGGGAGGGACAACACCCTCGACTTTGCTTATTTGCTCATCTCTCCTCTTGGAACCTTTGCCCTAAGCAAGGTGGGGTAGGGATGACCAGGACTCCAGTATTCTCAGCCTGCTCTCAGCCTAGGGAGTAGGGCATACTGACATAGTTACAAATAAATTTCATTATTTTGCCATATTGATGCTGACATGGTACTTCCAAGTTTAAGAAATACTTATTTTTTGCAGCTATATATGAAAGATTCCATAGTTTCAAATCAAATAAATTTAGAACATACCTTTTTAAAATAATTATTATACAGTCTGAGTAGTTACTTTGTATGGATTTAATTATTTTTTCTAAAAAGTTGTTCACTCTACACTAAAACATGACAACACTGTTGGGAAGAATTATTCTAATTATTCCTCTTCCAACATTAATATATATATATATACTGTTTCTTTTTCCAAAGACAACTATACAAATAAAAGCAAAATGGCCATTTTAGTCATTAAAATCTGGACCTGTCCAGCAGATTTGTAGTGCTGACCCTCCAGGTTTTTTTTTTTTTTTCCCCACAAAGAACTAGACTGGTTCCATCATAATAAGTGAACTAATAAAGATTATTCCCCTTGTCTCCTCCCTCATTTATCTAATTTATCTGTCCATGAACCCGTTACTTGGTGCTTTCACTGGGGCAGCCTGTACTTCAGGAAGTTCACAGCCTCAGTCTCATGGGGGATGGATAAACCACATGTTAACCACTTGCTACATGCCACACATTTCACACACATCACACTTTCTCCACAAGTCTATATGTCAGGTAGTCACCCCAATTTGACAAATAAGGAAACTGGCTCCAGAGAGCGCAAGTAAGTTGTATCTAGATCACTGGCCTCAAGAAGTGGGGTTAAGACACAAACCCTTCCCCATCAAATTCTAAATCCTATGCTCTTTCTAGAATAGCACATGGTCTCCCAGGCACTTAAGACAGCTACTTATCATTACAAAGGCATCTGTAACTGGGGAAGAATCAGGATAAGAAACAAACAGAATAGAGAGCCCAGGTTTAGACCGTCCCAGCCACAGACAAGAGGTAGCTAGCTCTGTGACCTGGCTGAAGGCATTCAAGCTGCTGAACTTTAGCCCCCTCATATGTAAAATGAAGCTCTCCCACCTTATGCAAATTGTTTTGATTATCTGACTAGTACTGTCATGTTCCAAATACAGGAAAAGTATATAAAATTAAGATATTTTATGAGATTATGCACTTGGTTATATGCAAATTTTTAATGAAAAGCTAACTGAACACCTACATATTAATTAGAATAAGCTCACTGTTAATGTGCTGGAACAATGTTCCTCTTTGTTTTGTTTTGTTTTCCTTATCATAGACTAGCAACCAGTACAGAAATCATAAAATATATTGTAACATTGTAATAATGCGTCTGAAATAATTTGGGGTCTCTGTACTATGACTATAATGGACCCTTCAACAGAAACCTATTAAGTTGAACATAACTGCTTGGTTAAAATTAACTAAGTCTTACAAATGGCATTGATTTTTCTATGAGGCTGTTTTATCTAAAAATTTTGCTTGCTTCTGTTAGCTGTTTCTTGAAAGCCATGAAAATGGCAAAATTGTCTTACAACAAAGTCAAGATTCTGTAACACCACACAATCCTAAATGAAGTAGTAAAAGCTAAGACCCAGAGAGAATTTAGGATCCCAGGTAGATTGGTTATCATTGAGATTAAAGAGAAATAAAAATGGAAGTAACTGGGATTTGATAGTAGTATACCACAGAGTGGTTAATGTGAGCAGAATACAATGAACCAGAGAGATGCAATCAATGACTGAACTATTCAAATAGCTTTTGCTTTTCAAAACCCATGAACAAACCACTTACTCTCTGAATCACAGTTCCTCCCTCTAAATTGCAGAATTAAAATGATCTCTTCCAGCTCTGATACTCTGTGACCACAAAACAAAGATGCCAGAGTGGTACATTACAGTACCATTCCCACCCCATGCCCCAAAATGCCAAGAATCTGGTCTTGCAAGTACTAAATTTGTGGTATCTGTATATAAATATGTGCTTAGTTATCTTAGTTTCCTATCTTCAAGCATAACATACCTCTAGCTTGGAAACTCCTTAGGAGATCAGAGCACTTAGTTCACAAAATGAAATAATCAGACATGAAAGTGCACCAGTTCCTCCCATTGTTGTGTAGAGTTTTGATAATCCTTGTTACTCAGTGGTTGCCCACTTTAACGGAAGGACGAATATAAGTGCTCTGAAAACAATCACTTTAAATGCAAATATTGATATTATATTCTAGCTCACATAGGAAGGTAACATTAAACTTCTTGCTCCCAAAGAAATGCCTGTTTGCAGTTGTGAAATTTGAGTCCACTAGTCAAGCTTTATTTGGTGAGCGGTATCTTATGCTAGAAAGACCATTGGTCTAGGAGTCAGAAGACTAATAGGTCCAGCTCTGCCTCTTCCTAGGTGTGTGCTTGTATTAAGTTTCTTTGAGGACATATTTTTTTACCTCTGAAAGAAGAGAGCTGTGTTTTGTTAGATGGTCTTCTAAGGCTTTTTTTTTTTTTAGCCTCTCAAATTGTGATTCGACAACATGCCCAGAAGCCTATTAGCCTTACTCAAAAAAATATGTGTGGCTTTGCTGCTTAATTACAGCCTCCTTTGGTGCTGGAAACAAAAGCAAACAAGCAGCTTAAAATATTTTATTTCTGAATAGGAAAGAAGATCCTGCACCTACTTAGGCTTGAGATGCACTTGACCTGAATCTCTGCAGACTTTACCCAAGAGAACAGCTTAGAATTAGAACTCCTCATCAGTAATTTCTTCAGAAACGATGAGCAAAAGCAAAAACTGGAATGAGGGAGCAGGCTATATGACACACAGGAGGCACTTACATTTGTTGAATTAAAGAGACCACAGGGTAAAGATGGTGGGAAGGTAGGTTTACAACTTCTGCCCTATCTAATCAAATCTATTTCCCAGGCCCCAATTACTCCCAGAAACCAATGAGGACTTACATATTCTGCAACATAGGCAACATAGTCCATGAGTTTTAGTCATCAGCGGGGTGGCTAAAGAAAATTGAATACAGACTGGGTTTTCTAATTTTAGAATACAGGGCTTCACTGGATATTTGAAGCTGCTGTCCACTCCCCACATTCCTGAGCACCAGGAGAGGAGGTTGGCTTACTTTCTGTTTCACACTGACAAAAACCATTGCTGCTTCATCCTTGTGCCTCATCCACAAGCACATCCTTTGAGTTGATGAGTGACTAATTCTCACTCCCGCCCTCTTGGTTTTGATCCCATTCTTTCCAGGCTGCTTGGGACCTTGCTCCAGCAATCATCACCCCAACTCAATCTTTAATTTTCACTTTCTCCTTTCCCCTTGGCATAGGAACATGCTTACACTCAAGTATCTTCAACCTTTAAAACAAAATCCCACAGCTGACACTTTGTGTTGCATATGAATTTCATTGTTGGCATTCTTTTTCTTTGATCCCAATTGTGTTTACTTACTTTTTTTCTTCTTATTGTTTCCTGTTAAATCACATGTATTTCTGTAAGCAATCTTAAATCTTTTTGGACACAGACCTGAATATAAGGACATGCAAATATTCACATATCCTAAAGGTATCATATCCAACTTGTCAATCTAGATCTAGCAAAGTGAGTTCCAAATGAAAGTTTGAAAACTCAATGAGCAAATAGATGTCATAATTTATTAGGTAACATGCAATGAAAACAACATATTAAAGTGAGATTTTTGTTTTAGAACTGGCCATTTTTCTACAGAAATTGTGGATTCAAAGATCTTAATTAACCTGATTTCTCTGGTAACCTGATCTTTCCAGGAACCAATTCTGAAACAAAAACCTTTCTCAGGCAGAGGGGAATGTAGTGTATGTGTGGCTGCAAACCAGCCCAACAAGCAAAGATGTGAGTCTCTCTGGAAAATAGGACCAACCAACTCTCCGCTCTGAGGCCCCAATCATCTCACAACCTCACAGGATCATCCTGAGCATTAAATACAATCATGTATGATAAAGCTGTTCACAAAAATACAAATTTTTGCATAAATGTTAAGCAAACCAGTTGGCAAATTTAGCCACCCTCACTAAAATGTGTTGCCTGAATAGTGAACGGATTTCACTTTCCCTTGAAGATGAATTACAGCAAGATTCAAACCTATCTTGAGGTTGATTCTTGATACTTACATTGCCAAACATATTGTATCTGTTTTATAAATCAGTTCCTTTAAGACAAAGGAAAGTACAAAGTATAAGCTCTAGAATGAAAAAGATTTGATTATCAGTAACAGAAGCCAGCCCTCTGATTCCTGAGCTACACGTAGCACAGAGGGAAGTAGGATTTTGAGATGAATACAATTTATGTCATGCAGGTCTAGATCAGCTTTCAGCACATCCCATTTGTTCTTCACAAAACACATATTCACTATGACAAGTAGAATCAGCAGCAGGATTGTAGGACCTTGGTTCACTGTCATTTACTGTAAAGCTTATTGTCTACAGTGCTATTTATATGGTACTGCTACAAAAAATGTTTAACCTAAATTCAACCATGAGAAAACAGACAAGACCAAATTGAGGGACATTGTGCAAAACAACTGATCTGGACTCAAAAACGGCAGTCTTGAAAGAAAAGAAAGCTGGGGAACTATCATAGATTAAAGGGGACCACAAACGATATAACAACTAAATGCAATGTGAGATCCTTGGTTGGATACTGGATTGGAGGGGAGAAAAAAGCTATAAATTTGAGGGACATTTTTAGGACACCTGGGAAAATTTGCATATATACAAATTTTAGATATAGGATTATATCAGTGTTAAATCTCCTGAAGGTGGTAAGTAAATTGTAGTCATGTTTTCATGCCCTTGTTCTTGGAAAATAAATGACGAAATATTTAGGTGTTAAGTGTGACACAAACTATTTAAAATTCACAGGTAATATAAATGTTTCATTAACTAAAGATGCATATGAGATAGATAGGAGCAAATCTAGCAAAATGTTAACCACTGGTAAATCTAGGTAAGGGGCATATGGATATTTAATGTTCTCTTCTTGCAAATATTCTATAGGTGGAAAGTTTTCAAAATAAAAATATTTTAAAAATTATATAAAAATACTACTTCTGCTATCTCTGTTGCTGTAGGACCAAGTACTTGCAACCTGTCTAGCTATCTTTAGTTTGTCATCAGAACTGCTCAGATTCCTTGCTGATATGCCTCCTGATGACTTCCTTCTTTCCTCCTAAACTATAACTACCCTCAAGTTTCACAGCTACCATTTCCTCTTAAGTAATTTATCTAGCCTTAGCTTTGATAACACCACTCTGCTTATCCCCTTCCTTACTCTCTGCTCCTTTGTCCTCCTTTGCATTTATCTTGCTCTCCTATTCTATTGCATTTGAACCAGTTTGCATCCTCCAAGTTGAGTTCTAAGATCTTTACCATTCCCATGTCTCCTGCATTCAGGGCAATAAGCACTCCTGCTCAAATGGTTCTATGTGACACAATCTGTTCTGCCTTTCTGCCGTGTCTCCCCCATAATTTGGCAGATTTTTGGAATTCTTGCTAACTGAATGTACCCAAATTCATTCCATTCTACCCTCTGGTGTATCCAATATGTAATACTCCTCTCATCCCCCCAATTCATAACCTTGGTAGAAAATATCCTATTGACTATATAAGACAACCTAAAGAAAATATCGACCACTACATTGAACACTACAAAATATACCAATATGTTCAGGTCCCTTAAATAAAGGAGCAGAGAGATGTAAAACTGGCTATTGAGAACAAACTACCCAGAAAGTATACCCTTAATTGGTATGTCCATTAATTGGGAGTGTCTTGAGCCAAGGATAATTGCTATTTCATATTTTGCCATTGTCTCCTAACATTTTCAAAGTCCTCTTTTAATGGGAAATTAGGTCACTCTGAATATCTCTACATCTTTTGGAAGATCTCTAGCAGGAGTAATCTGTGTGCCAGTCACTATAGGTCCATATTTGCAATTCAGGATGTTATGGAATCTACTCCCAGGCCACTCTTGGAGGGCAAAGAAAGTAGAACTCAGTCCCTGACTCAGTCACTCTGGCTCCGCTGAACTGCTTGGAAAAATCACTTAAACTTCCATGGCATCCATTTCCCCATCAGTAAAGTGGAAGGAAACTGTCATCTCTGAAGTAACTTCCAGCTCTGATAGTTCTTGACTGCAAGAGTACTACATACCTTTTGCAATTAAGATGGTAATAATAATTAGATTTCTGTGTATGATTTATGCATGAAACATTGTATCTGTTTGTATTGTAAAATGTTTCTTTAAATCTCTTTGTATAGTCAGGTAATGTAATGTTTGGGAGAATAGACTCTGAAGACAGAGTCTTGGCTGGAGTCCATGCCTCACTAGCTGTGGGACCCTGGGCCAATATTGCTCTTTCCTTCCTTATTTTTCTTAAGATTTTACTTATTTGAGAGAGAGAGAGACAGAGATAGCGAGAGAGAGCACGAACAGGGAGGAGAGGGAGAAGCAGTCTCCCCACTGACATGGAGCCCAACGTGGGGCTTGATCCGAGGACCCCGGGATCATGACCTGAGCCAGACGCTTAACCAACTGAGCCACCCAGGCGCCCCCAATCTTGCCCTTTCTTTAAGGGCAATTTCCACTTGAGAAAAGCAGAGATACTTTTTTAAAAAGATGGCAATATTTCATTATTGAATATGTTAATAGACTAGGGAATCCTACTGCAGTGTGCAGAATTCCTTATACAATTAAAAGAAAGAAGTGTGATTTGACAGCTACCTCTGCCCATGCCACAATGACACTGGCCCTGGTCCTACTGTCTGGGTGCTTAAGTCCAGATGTTTGCGTGTTTGGGGATGGGGGTGGAGGGAGAGTCAGACATGAAACAACTCATTGCAGAAATAATTCCTACCTTCTTAAGGGCCCCACAGGAACAATAATGACTGAACAATGAGAATACCTATCATTTATTTAGGGCTCACCATGTGCCAATCCTCACGTTAGGATGTAGTTACACATTAAAATGTAGTCTTGTTTTCCCTATTTTGCCGGTAGGACTGAGGCCGAGGAAGGTTAAGTGACTTGCCCAGGGTCACAGTGCTAGTAAGTAGCAGAATGGAGGTTTGACATATATTTGGAGCTCCTAGAGCCAAATGGACCCACTCCTTTATCCAGGGCAGTCCCCACAGCCAGTCATGCAGCACCCCCTCTGGAGCATCCTCCCTCCAATGAGGCTGGGTCAGTGCTCTGCCTCTCTCTGCTGGCTGTGCTGTGGTCA